AAAAAAAAGGGGGAAATGGCTGCCTGCCTCATTTGCTCATTTGGTCACACACTGTGAGAGAATTTATATGAAGTTATATGAACAGAATGAGACGATGAAGCTCCAACAACCAAAAGTTTCAGAGTACTGTGTTTCTGTTTCTGAAGGGAAATTCCAACACCAGTGTTTGTGCGTTTTCAGATTTTCCTCACACTTGGCTTGGCATATATATGTGTTTGACTGGGAGTGGGCTCATTCGACTCAGAGAATGAGAGTGGGTGACTTTACTGTTTGCCAGACACATTACTGAGACAAAGGAATGGGCTGAACGAGTGACAGAGAAATATAACAGCGACAGGAAAAAACAAGAGGCAGAAGTCAACATTTGTATGTAAGTCTGACTCTCAGGAAACACAACAGGAACATAACACCGGGCTACACTGAGAATCAACTTTTCAACAAAGCGGAATTCAATGATGATTACAGCGTTAACCCCCTAGATCCTTGTATTTCCCTGGAAGACACAAGAAATAAACTCCCCTTTTCCAAGGAGAAGTACCAGTGGAAACCCAGGATTTTAAGCCTGTGTGCTTGTGTCTTTGTGCACCATTGTGTTTACACACTGAGGACAAATGTTCATATGGAAACACCTTCTCCTATAACATCATTAATGCTACCGCACAACTGTTGTCTAATGACATTCCCGTCAGCCTCTGCTGTACTTTGTTAACATGCAACTTTAGCAAATGTTGTCGAACCAATACGAACCATTAACATAATATGGTGAACCTGACAAATATTACCTGCTAAAATTTAACATGCTGACATTATCAATGTGATCATGTTAGCATGTTTAGCATACAGCCTCCCAGGTTGCTGTTCTAACTAAAAACATAACCACATAATGTAATAAATAAGAAAAAATACCATCAGAAAATAAGATTTCATGATTAATTATATCAATTCTGTGTTCCTTAGATAACAAATGTTTCAACGCAAGTGTTAAATATCAACCTTTTTATTGGTATACTTTTCCATGACACCTGTTATGATAACCTAAAGCTTTACTAACTCCCAACCAAAACAATGAGATCCTCCAGTCTCCCAGGAGCTACTGACTCATAAGCGCTGAGGTAGATTACAGTTTACAGTGTTAGTCTTATCTACTGACCGCCACTCAGAGGTGTTTAAATGCTTCATGGAAATGACAATCTGTTACAGCTGTGCAGACAACAGCCAAGTTGTTACAGTATGTACACCGCTTTACCCAGCTACTTTTTATTGCTCTTGTCCCCAGGCGACCAAATGACCAACTGCAAATATAATTTAGTTATCCCCATTACTGCTGTGCCGTGCATTGAATGAGTGGAAGAAGCTATTTCAAAATGTGATACAAATGAACTTCAGAAATACACTTTGGTCACTTTGGTAACAAAATACAATAAATCTGTTAAGCTGACATTTCACTGTCCTATTTAGTGATTTATTTCTTGAGGGCACATCAGGCTAAAATACCTCAGATAAGTAACTCTGGGACTCTCATGCATGTTTTTTTTCAATGCTGCTCTGCTTACCATTCAAGCAGCTACAATCTCACAAAGAGGATGTCCAAAGGAATGGGACTGTTCTTGATCTGGGAATTGTTTCCATGTGTGCATTTCAGTCTCCTCTTCCAACATATGACTCTACAAGGTAATGTTATGGTGGATCTTGCAAAGGTTATTTCATATCAAAAGTACACTTGTTAAGACATGTCCACAGAGAGCCATTAAGCAAGATGATAAGACGGATGTTACAGGACAGGACTGGAAGATAGAGGTCTGCTTGGGGAAGATACTATAAAGGGACCTGGATCATATCTGAAAAGTACGCAGGAAATCATTTCATTGCACAACCCAAAAAGCATGTGATTTGCTGTAGAGGAACAACACCAGGGTTCAGGTTAAATAACTGTTGACTAACTGTAGAAAAAAAAGGAAGCTCAGAAACAACAATCTGTTTGATTAAGTCACAGTGGGTTTTTTCCACTAGGTTTTAACGCAACTTAGCTAAAGTTTAAGTTCTGTTTTTAACCTTTTGGGGGACATGTTTGATCTTGTTTTGTCTGTTCCACAGCCACGACTTCAGGAGCCATTAAAGATTCGGATTTTGGAGTTAAACATCATATAATTCTGTGAAAGTCCCTGTACTGAGCTGCAATGATGCATGTAGCAGCACTGTGCACTCACACTGTGGGATCTTCATTATGACTACATCTCCAAAAGATATGATGTTCATGTTAATGTAATGCAGGAAACCACACCAACATCCATTAGCAACACTAATACCAGTAATTTTCAGCTATCATTAAAGCTGGTGATATGAATTCAAGGTCTTTTAATACGACCCTTTTTAAGGTTCACTTGATCTAAATTACAATAAAGAAAAAATTGCCAAACAATGACAAACAAAGCTAACACATGAATCCGACTAATCATTTCATTCCAGCTTTTGGTATTTGATAGTCTTTGAAAACTATGGACACATAGCCCTGCATCTGGTGATATCTACCACTGCAGATAGTTTTGGTTTATTTGCACATGTTTTCTGAGAGCTGAGATATCTGCCTCCACCCAATACAACAGAGGGGAGAAGAATTTCTGCTGTGATGGTCACAGGTTCCGTTGGATAACAGAATTTACTGTTTTTGTGAGGATTAGTATTGTGTAATTTTGGTGAACCATCCCGTTAAGCCCCGCCAGAATATAAACATTTTTACATCTATAAGGGTCATTTAGACCCTCCGTTAAACAACGTCATGACTTCACTAAATGTGAAATACATAAGTGAACAATTAGTTGTAAAATAAAATATAAAAAAAAAAATAGCTGTGGGTAAAATCGTTTTTTTAATGTTATGAGGAACTTTGTGACGATGATTCACTTTAATAGAAATCTTCTGACAAAGTATTTCAACCCTTTTCAACCAAATGACAAAATCGTGTTTCTGCTTTTCAGAATCATAACTCAAACCAGAATGCACAGACCACATACACACACTGCAAAAGGTTCCTGGGGTTAAAGGACTCTCAGTTAAACTTCCCTTTACACAAAGAGACGGTGACTAAAACAGCTTTTTATCTCTTAAGGAATATTGCCAAATTATGGCTGTTCCTATCCCCTAAGTTTAGTTTACGTTATGATTAACTTAGTTTGGTTTATCTTTCCCTGCATCAGGGTGGAGTCAGCTCAGTCCTGTGCTGTAAGAGCCTTGAAAGCAGAAGCTAAAATATTCTATTTCTATTGATGCAGACTGACATGTCATGTGTGTTGTTTTCAACTGTTAAATACTTGATGCTAAAGTCTAAAAATAGAATTAAACATCTGCTGCTATAGAAGCTGTTGGTCAGCAGTTCATACCCTGACATACACACAGCCTGAACACAATGTAATACACTGACTTTAGGAGCAAACAAAGTACCTCATTATATGGTTAAGTATTTACAGCCTGCATGCATGTGTATAAACATACAGGCCTTCAGGAAAATATCATCTGCCTAGTTTCACATTTTTTTTTTGCAAGCAGCAAATGACTTAGCAAAATGTACAGTATGTTTTTTGCAGTGTACAATTCAAACCATACAAAAAATTACTTTATCAAAGCCGTTTTCTGGCAACTTTAAAGCTTCAAAGTAGTCTACTTTCCATGTGCGAGTAACTCTTTAAATGTTTTAGATTTGGCTTTTAACTAGTTTAAAAAACGTGTAGGAAGTCACAAAGGAGTTTTTCCACTCTGAACTTTTAAGATCGACCTCATGGAAACAATCAACCAACTTTTGTGTACTTTCTCGACACCATACAATTCCTGTGATTCACAGTGTGAAAACTAACTCATTAACTTTTTGAAATACGTCACGAAACGAAAACACATGACTGCCAGTAAACTGAAGAATCAGTCCTCTCTCAAGTATTAAAACTATGTTCCATGTCATACTGATAAACTATTCATGTTTTTGCTCAACTCTGGATTGGAGTTTAACAATACATAGCAGTCATTTTTTTGTATTGAATAATTCATTTCCACCACTGTAATTACTTTGGAGAGGAGGAAATAAATAATAAAGTCCAAACAGACAAAAACTAAGCCTAAAAAATCCATGTCCATGCCAAACAGTAAAGTCAAAAATCTCTGTCTCTAAGTCTAGATTGTTATCATGTAATAAAAGCTGACAGAGTGAGTGGGATCCTATGGCAATTAAAAATATATAACTCAGGGCAGGGGACCTCTGAGCTAACACACCATTCAGGACCACCAAATGTCTTTGTCAGTTTTTTGTTGCCATCATGTGCCATCTCTTGCTTACCTCCACTTCCTTCAGCTACTCATTTCAGACGCAATAATAACAAAAATACATATTCACCTTTTGACTAAGACTTTCCATTTATTACATTATCTGGTCTGCAGCTATAATACATTAATACCACTGTGGCAGAGACAATACAAGCTCATCGCTAAACTATTCTTTAGCTGAGTGGAGGGCACGGTTTTATTACTAGAACAAAGTAATTTGATAACTGCTACTGCAACTTTCTTTCCATCTTTGCACTAATTCATTTGGTGGCAGTAACAGCTTTTGGCTCCTCTAATTTTGTGGTGACCCACTGTCTTCAGAGTAGTTTGATTTTTTGGTCAGCACTCATTTTTGATTTTGGTTTTTGTTTGTAAATTTGTGATACAGGTTGTTTTTCTTTATTAGTATGAATGTATTTTTCTCAGCTGTGGGGTGAACTCTAGAGTCACAAATTTTCAGAATTAATTGACTCAGATCTGCGTTTGTGGTGAAAAAAATTTTGTTTGATGTATCGGTTTGTGAAGAATTTACGCTCACTTTATTACGAATACCTGTACACTTGTTTATTTGTGCTATTATCCAATCAGCCAATCATGTGACAGCAGTCCAACGCATAACGTCATGCAGCTACAGGTCAGGAGTATTAGTTTGCTGTTTCTGATGAAGTGCTTGGTGAGCGACTCAAACTCACTATGATGGAGTAGATGAGGGCAGCAATTCCAAGAGGCAGGCAGCAGCACAGCATGGTGAAGATGGAGTAGCACAGGTAGTCGTTCACAGGTTCAGTCAGCGGGCCTCGAGTCACGTACACTGTGGGCTGGACAGTGACGGTGGCCGGCTGTGCTGGGTACTGCTGCTGACCCATGGGAAACGGCTCTCCATATCCTGCACCCCCATAAGGTGGAGGAGGTCCGAAGCCCTGCAGACGACATACATGAAACACAACTCACTTTCAGGTGAAAGAGGATGTCAGTAAAAAGTCTGTGTGTGTTTGTGTGTGTGTGTATGTGTGTGTGTGTGAGTGTGTGTGTGTGTGTGTGTGGTGGTGGTGGTGGTGGTGGTGGTGTGTGTGTGTGTGTGTGTGAAAACAATTGCATGGTAAAATGGCAAAAGCGAAACTGTGTAACTAGCTTAAATGTACACCTGTGCTTTTCCTTTTTTGATAAGTTCATTTCATGCAAACGTTTTTATTGCACTCAAACTTTCATCCACCCACACAAGATACATTACATTTACTTACTTTTTACTTTATTTATATGAGGAAACCTTGTGTATGTGTTTTACTGATTATTTTTACAACGTAAATGACAAAAACTAGAACTTCAAAAAGACCTTTTAACCTAAACCGACTAAATAGCCCTGGTAAGGTAAACTCCCATCGGTGTTTTCACTTAAAAAAGATGTTGCTTGGGATATGTAATTTGCTTACAGAGGAAGTGAGAGGTTTAACAGTTTTTATTTTTACCACAAAGGTACAAAATGTTTTTTTTTTTCTTTTAGTTTTTAGGTCACAGTGGTGATTTGGTACAGGCTTACATCAAACATACCATTATTCGTGTAAAATCAATTTCTTTATTAGTGCTGAGTTTTATTGTATCTTGATGGGATCCAAGTTCACAGGTCTTTAATTAATAATCTACAGACTAATTTATTCCGTGTGAGCCGGACAAGCGTATCTAAATACCTACAACCCCTCTAAGATAATAACAAATGTCACCATGTACTTCAGTAAAAACCGTAACCGCTTCTAAAATATATTTTAATGATAATTACATCGGTAAATAAAAGGGGTGCAGTTCAAACTCTATGGAAGAAAACTGCGTTAAAAGTGACATCGGCTTGCTGTCGTGTTCAGCAGGGTTGAGATTTTGTAAAAGAAAAAATACTTTTCCGTTAATTAATGGGTTTTTAAAGCCATATAATTACTACTAATTTACATTAGTCTTTATTTGTGATGTTGGGAAGCTTACCTGCATCTGTGTCGGGTATGCCGCGCCGGTGTGAGGGTACCCCGGGTAGGGGTTGTCAAAGTAGGCCGGAGGTGGCACCTGGCCCATGGAGGACTTCTCATCACCGTATTCCTGTGGAGGAGCGCTCGCAGATTTACCGGGGTCCATAATAATAAACCTCGGTCTCTACTTCCCTTTAGAAGAAAAAAAAACTCCCTGGTTCACGTTTATCAGTCTGAAGTGTTTGATGGTGAATTCCAGCTACAGACATCCAAGTTTTCTCCAAGTTCGATCAAATTTTCTTATTAGAGTCAAGTGACGCAGAAGAAATAGGAAACTCGACGTCGCTACTTTCAAATTAAAAGCACGATTGTCATTGACCCAAGAGCGAAATTTCATGAATATACTGTAGGCTTCTGAAGCTATATTATGTCGTAAAATCAGATGAAAATGGATGTCATAGACTAGATAAGAGCTATATAAGTGCAAGTCCATTTACCAATTACCATATAATGTTCTATGAACATCAGTGTGGGATTCATCTTGGTAAACAAAATACAAGAAGTCTAATAAATATCAAAGAAAAAAAATCAAAGCACTGATTTTGCAGAAATGTAATTGCCACAATTACTATCATCTTCCTTATTAAAACAGACTATTTGATATATCTAATATAATCTGTAAATTTACCGTTACCCTTGTAATTATCATGTGTATTTTCTGGATGCAAATAATGTTGCTGTTGCTGTATAAAGTCTCCATCCAATGAAAATGTTGATATAAAGAATTTGACATGTAGGGGAGTCGAGTTATTATTATACTTTCAAATGTTCTCCAACACATTTCGTACACAATGGCGTTATCGTTTAAAAATATTTCAGGCATTTATTTTTTTAAAAGCAAATTCATATGATTTCCGGTCCCATTCTGGCTACCGGTGATTAACTTGATGTTACCGTCTGAGCCAATAAATGCAAAGGGAGGGGCCGAGGTTTAGGCGTATCACAGCATACTGCCCAACATTAATTGGGAAACAACACGAAACAGATGAGATTTGTTCTTGTGGAGATATGGCTGACAGCCAGCCTCAGTGTGTCCGGGCGTAAACATCCCCTGAGAGAAGCCATCAGTCAAGTCATGCTCCTCCCTTCGCACATCGTGGAGTGTATTGCTGGCTTTGGAGAAACATTAATCGTGCAGATGGCTGGATGACTGAGTGGTTGATGACTATGAAAATTGAATAGAAAATATATACTGACCACAGTGTCCACTAGATGGAGCCAGAACATTTCTAAAACTGCAGAGCTCTCACAACTGCACCTACAACTGACGTTAGAGCAGGAACACTGCAACTAGCTTAAACGTAAATCAATAAAACTGTGCTTATCCTGTTATGAGAAGTTCACTTCATTCAAACGTTTTTATTGCACTCAAACTTTCATCCACCCACAAAAGTTCCATGGCTTTAGAAATCAAGTGTTTTTTTCAGATCTATTTTGCAAGTAAAATTAGTTTAAAGATCTTTTTTGATTCAGTGTGGTCAGTACCATTTCATTCAATTGAAATGTAGCTAGGTTACTGGCCTGCCGAGATGAGTTTGTTGAATTGCTGATAACTTGTACAGTATTGAGTAATAACCCAGTTATAATGGTCTGAATGGATATAGTCTGGAATCAGTTTAAATATTACAAACTGAAATTGTAATACAAGGCCCTTAAAACAAAGGACCCCCCCCCCCACACACACACACTGTTCACACGTGCGTGTACGCGCACACACACACACACTTCAGTACTCAAAGAAAAGTCCATCGCTCATTTTAGTTTCAACAGTTCTTTTATAGAAACATGACAGACTCTTTCTGTATCTATGAACAGTGCAATCCACTACACTCCTCCATAAAGCTACACATGAGAATTGACAGATTATCATGAATAATCAACAGCATTCTAAACACTCAAGACTATGTGGATTTCATACATTTGACATGACAGCGGGTTAGGTTGGTCACAGTAAACAACTAATATCTACATCAGTGTTTACCTTACACATACAGTACAGACAGTATAACAGTAGTGTGAGACACCGACACAACCTAAAGTATGTGGACACTTAAAGTATTTTTTGGTAATAAGTTTGTGTTACCGTTACATGAAGCCACTTAAAGATGAAAGTGACAAAAACTGTGTGTACAATGGTATGTATGTCTGAGTGTGTGTGTTTGTGTTGAGGTGCAGGCTGCAGGACAGTAGCGCAGTTATCAGGCAGAAAGCATCACAACTCACAGCAGCTATAAACAAACTACTTCCTGTTGATCTCTCTAAATAAAAAACAAAACAAAAAACAAAAGCCTCTCATTGGGTGTCACAAATCCTGCTGCTCCTCCTCTAAGTTATCTGTTGGTTGCACGGAAGTCAGTGTGTGTTCTAGTGACCTCTAGCAGTCGCAGGCACGACCTACAGACAGACAGACAGACAGAGAGACAGACAGACAGAGAGACAGACAGGAGGGTGAGTTTCAAAATTCAGTTTTTCAATCAATTTTTTGCTTGAAAATATTTTCATATATAGATACACATATATAACATAATACATTAAGTTTTGAAAACACAGAAAAACATAGAATATATTGTTGTTTTAGAGTACGAAATAGAGAATGAATACAATTCTTCTCATTCTCAGATAATGAGTGGCGGAAAGAGAGACTGTGTGTGTGTGTGTGTGTGTGTGTGTGTGTGTGTGTGTGTGTTTGTGTGTGTGTGTGTGCCCATGCAAGTGGAAATTGCCACCATCAGTGCAGTATGCCCCTGGAGGCTCCTGCTGAGTTGCTTACATAGAGCACACACACCGTGTTTTTCCATGTGGGCCACCTGTGTATTTCACCTACATCAAAGCTGCTGAAATCAGACTAGTTTTGTTTTCAAGTAGCATCTAGCATCATCAATGTCATCAGGGGTTAAATTAGCTGGAGCTTGGATTCAGAGAATACAAATATATGAAGAGAAAGTCTAAATTACAAACTGGGAGTGAAAGACGTGGGTGTTTTGAGTGTAACTGTCAAACCCTCAAGGGCATCTTTTATATGGCTGCACCACTACATAGAGGAGAAGTGTAGTTGCTTCTGACACCAACCATCCCCTTTCCTTCCCTCCCCTCTTTGCATGCCAGACACCCAGAGCCCCACCAACTGTTGAACAGCAAGGTCCATGGCATCTCACTGCAGCACTATGGGAACGTTCCATACGGTGTCAGTGTGTGTGTGACACGAGGCCGTTTACAGTGAGACAGATGGACGGAGTAAATATAACTTTAGACCTTAGCAGGATGTCGACGGGGTGATGAAATCTTGAACATTTCAGGGGGACAGAAGCTGTGTATCTTGCTGTACACAAGTGCACAGTGGAAGTGGAAAGACAGGTATATTTGCTACTGTGTGGTAATCTTAGAAGGATGAATGTTATGCAAGTGCTTTAGCATTTGCGCTTGTTGCTCTTGTCAAGTGTCAGTAGTTACAATTGATCGTCCTTTCTGTTGATATTTGCTATAAACCATACCGACAAACACAGTTTCCTTTCGGGGTTAACAAATATTGTATATATGCTACCTTGGTCGGAGAGCATCTGCTGAGCATTGCTTCCTGTCCTCCTTCTGCAAAGAGACAAGAGGAGAGCGTAAGAGGAAAGAAACGCAATACATTTGAATCTAGTGTGACTCTGTTCATGAAAACAGGGCCATGTTTGGCACTTGGTAACGTGGTCATACAGTACGTACTGCCTTTACAACATCATATTAAAACTAGATGGTTCTCATGCTGAGTTTTTCATGTCTAACTGCATGAAGGATTACCTCTTGTCCTGGTTGAACTTGCATCTGCAGTGGCCACCTACATCAAGAGAAAAGAAGCAATGACTTTCTTTATATCATATGTGTGTATCTGAGCATTGTTTAAGTCTGTTTATGACCAGGCATGTATATCTGAGTGTGTGTGTGTGTGTTTATGTGTGTGTGTGTGTGTAATATTTGCATCTTACTGAGCAGGATGGTGATGCCAATGAGACAGAGGACAGCAGCTAGAATCAAGCCTCCAACACGCAGTCTGTGGTAGTCTGCAAGGACAGATCATGTTTACCATTAGACTATAAACAAAAATGAGCTAAATAAAAACAGTCTTGAAACATTAAGCAATAAAAACCAAAGTGAGATGCAGTAAAAGATTATTACACAAAACCTACATCAATGTGTAAATAAGTGACTTTACGTCCAAAAAAATGACACTAATTTATCCAGCAGTATAGATATTTACAGCAGGTGTACAGTGTGTATATTTCAGTTTTCTTGTACACTTTGTGTCCATAACAATATTACAGCTGGTGGTTTCATCGTCCACTTCCTTTAACTCATAAATAATAATGGTGAAAATAATAAAAGAGTAATGCATTACCAAAAGTAAATGGGTTATCTTCCGCTGTAGGAACAGAGAAGAAAAGCATCAGTTAAAAGTTGGATGTGAAGAGCAGAGAAACGAGAACATGCAGAAACAACCACATATCAAACAGTGATGTAATAAAGTCAAATGTACAAAGTGAGATGACCATACACAGTGGCCTAGTTTAATTCTCTCAGTAATGATTAACACACCTGACAATCAGGTCATTTCATTCCAACTTAAAACAAACACTACACTCAATTTTAATCAAAAATGTTAAGAAAGGTATTTTTGAATATGAGCTCCTATTTGGATGCAACCTATTAACTGTATTACTCAAATGATTAGAGATACTGAGTGTGAAAAGTCAGTGTACTTACAGTTCTGTTCCTCTGCAGACACCAGTGACACAACTGCAAGAGAGTTCAGAAACACAGACACACATATTACCATCGTGAAGCCCAGCCTCAGTCTGGATCTCATTTTGTTTAATGCAGTTCATGAAGGTTGGATAGAAAACAAAAACACTTCACTTTCTGTTTCACAAGTGCCAAAAACTGCAGTTCCTCAAGTGGCCACTTGGGCCTGGATCCAAAAGTGAGTCAATCCCCATAGACGCCCATTTTAGAATCCCAACTTCACAGCAGAAATGAACATGTTTACAGCCTGGTCCAAAAAACAGTTTTAGAGTCTTTAGCTACTTTCCCCCTTCATGACAACTGTAGGGAGGGTGAGTATTTATACATCTCAATTTTATTAAGGCTTAAAGTTATGCATATTTGAGGGTGTGGCCACTTTGAGTGACAGGCGGGTTCCATCACAGTTCACTCGCTGCTCGGTGCCTAGCCGCTAGCTGTCTGCGACTGTTGAGTCTTAATTCAAGTCACTGAATGTGGCCTCTCAGCTGTGTTTGAGGTGTTGGTGCCTTTTGGAGGATTTTTCATGCAAATATCAGACAGACAATTTGGCTTGTTAATTTACTAATAGAACATAAGGAAGTCTTGGAAATTCTAGTATTATTTTATTTATATTAGCACTAAATGGCAGCCAACAACTTGTCGTTAACTAGCTAATTAGCCAGCATATTGCTTGGGCTAGCCTTCGAGCAAGACGCACAGACGCCCAGCTGAACTAACGATGCTAATGGGGGCGTATGCTTGCCACAGTTATGAAACCGTCATTCACTTAAGTCTCGGCTCCACTCACGCCTCAACTCTTTGCCTAATTCTGGATTAGGCAGAGCAACTTACTCTTAGCTTCAATATTTAATATTATTGTTTACAAATAATTTCACTAAACTTGTCATTTGCTGTGGTTGATATTGCAGTGGCTTCACTAAGCTTTCCTTTTACTAATACTTTTAAGGGAAACGCAGGTAAACTCACGTCTGTTGCACAGAATCACTGACGAATGAAACTGTCATTGTCAGTGAATAAAACACCTCTTTAAAAGCTTCTAAATCTCTGCTTTGCTTATTGGAAAATCCAGATATGTTTAAAGATATTCCATAAACCTCTGTCTGTTTCAACTCTCTTCCTCCTCTTATTCATGTGGATGTTGTTACCTTCAGCTTTTCAGCACTGTAATTGTAGAACACTTCATTTCCCATCTTACCTACAGTGTTAGAGATTTGCTGTCTTACAGTTTATTTCTGTGGGACATGTAATCATATCAGATGTCCAGACAGTTTAAAATTTAGAGTGAAGGGGCAACAAGACAGCCAGTGACAACCCATCCTCCCTGCTGCCTTTCGTCTCACCTCAGACACGTTACTTAGAGTCACAAAAATATAAATACTTGAGCAATATGCTGATGGAAGACAGACCTTCATAAAGAGGAAGTGGAGCAAACAGGTCATGAGTACGTTTTCAGTGACACTGACTGGCTTTTAAAAAGAGAAAGTTATTATTTAATGGAGGATTCTTGGTGATTCCTTTTTTTTTTCTTTTGAGAAAAACTGTGATCACATAAAAAGACTTTTGAAGAGTCTTACTCACGTGTCATCAACACCAAAGCACAGATCTTTGACATCTTCAGGCTTGAGGCTGTTTACCTGCAGAGATAAATACAGACAGTGATATCAACAACACCACCAACAATTAAGGAGGCAATTAAACTAATGTGCACTAATGATTTTCATATGCAGCTTTACATTCTAACTTGGTTACCATAGCAACAACCACAATAAGTGGTACATATTAAACTTGTATGTTTGACTGATGCATGAATGCAGATTGAAGTCGAGTAGTAACTGTGGTTTGCCATTTGAATAAGGCTTTGGTTGAACTAACATGGGGCAAATAAAATTATCTCCAGTCCCCATGGAACAAATAATCACATTTCACATGTGTGTGTGTGTGCATGTTAGAAAGCTGATTGCTGTACTCCAAACTGGCTCATACTGGCCAACACAGTCAACAGAAGTGTGATGCAACATTTAGCCTTTCTGTGTTTTCTGTGAGGGGCACTAAAAGGACTTAAACACACAGAGACAAACTCATCACTCTTGCAGTGCATGCATCCTTCCCCTCTGAAGCATGCACAGATCTGATTGAATTAAGATGGGCATAAAGTGGCCTCTCTGGCTACCTTTCACTCTCAGACACACACAGAAACTTGATCTGATGTTGATGGATACAAAGTGCAAAAATGGAGCCCTAACAGGAGAACTACTCTGGTATCACATATTACACTGCTGCCATGTAAAAGCTTATAAGATTCAATCTTCCTTCTTCTTGTTTCAATGTTTTGTTACTTTACTTTCTATCACAGGCTTATTAAACTGTATATAATGCATGTCCCCATGTGCATATAGTCGTCTGCTGTGGCCGTCCAGATTCTGATTATTCAAGTCCATTCACCCTTCCAAAGCTATTCCTGTCTCTAATGTGATTTTAATCTTATTTCTAGAGTACACTCATGTATAGATGGCCTTTGGACTTTTAGCTTCTTTTTGAAGGTAATGTACGTATATATTTTTATTTTCCAATGCCTGATAATTATCAAAGTTCTTTTATCCTAAAGACAGTCAGACTGAATTTACACTAATGACACTCGTATCATCCCTAATGAACAAGTACATTTCCTGACAAGTGCAATTATATCCCATGCGCTGTCTGAGCCGCTGCCATGTTGAAGGAGCAGCAGCAGAGCTCACATGTGCACTGGGAGGAGACACACCTTGGCTAACACAGCAGTGGTTTTCCACTTACTGCACTATTCTGCTCAAAGCGCTCCACAGTGAAGAGCAAACACACCCATGCCCATTTCAAACTGACATTTACACACAGCCACGTGTGAGTGAACACTTGTATAAAGACATACAAACGTAAAAACACACTATTTGGATGACGTCAAAATTAAAGTTGGGTTGACCAAGTGAGTGTTGGACACACCCTACCATGGCCACCTGCAGTATGGGAGCATGTAGTCAAATTGGTTTGCCAGTTGCATCGGTCTGAATTCCTGATGAAGTTACAGTTTAGCCTGTAGCAGTATGATCTGTGTGGGGCCTGGCGACTATATCAGCTGTCAGTGATTAGCTGAGTCCATCGCTGGTTGTTTTTTTGTTTTTTTTGTTGCAATTTTTTGACAAATTTTTGATCTACCTCCTTGAGAATTCAACTTGGTAAATAATTATTTTAGGTGCAATTCAAAGGGTGCAGTAACAGGAACTGGCAGTCGGAGTGAAGTCGGGCCACATTATTGTTGATATAGAGCAGCGGCTAAATGACAATTATGTCATCTTTAATGGTTGCTCTCTGATCGATTGGTGCTAAAAAGCAACTTCATATTATAATCATATTTGAGACCAAAAACTGTAGTGTGGTTGTGCTCCCTGATTATTTAATAGCATAGTGTATGTTGTCATCTGTTAGTTCACTTGGAAGCTGCAAGTGGAGGCATGACAGAGGATAAGATGAAGGCAAATTAATCCAAACATAATACACATTGTCATTCGGCCCATTAGAAAATCTTAACATATTGCCCCACACTAGATCTGTCTGTCCTCTCTGTTTGTGTAAACTTGACCTTCATGACATTTTTGGGGAAACATTTTCTCATTTTTTATCTTGGGCTTTTTCCTTTTTGAAAAGGGCAATATTAATAAAAGGCCACACAAGTGAAAATAATGCTGTGCAATAAACTATTAAAACTGTGAGACAGTGTATCTGAAATGATTAAACAAAGATGTTTAATGATGTTACAGTAAAGTACCATCCAGCATTTTTGTGCCTTACAGGAAAACAACAGTGACCTTTGAGACTCAGTGATCACGATAAAGGAGGATATAAGTAAAGTATGTGTCTCCCTCCTTGGCTGTTGGTATTTGGAATTTGGCAGAAATTGAGAAAGACAAGAACAGGCCGAGCGCTTTTCTCCTGGTGCCTCTCCACAGCAACTCAAGGCGAGGCAGAGGGAATGTAGAGGATGGGAAACAGGCCAACAACCACTAGAGAACGGTTTACCTCAGGAGAAAGACAAACAAAGAGTAGAGAGGGAGGAGAGAGAGAATGAAGAGACAACAGGGCAATGACAGGAACAGGAGAGAGAAAGACAGGAAGACAGACAGGAAGACAAATGAAGAGGAGACACAGGAGGGCAAACTGAAGGTGAGACGGTTGAAAGGTTAGGTAAAACAGTGAGAAGAGGGCAAAAGGAGAGAGGACAGAGTATAAAGTATAAAAGAGGTGGCACCTCCCTATTTGAAGATCATATTCTAAAGCAAATGTTAGTGTAAGGTGGAGCTAGGACGTGAGTGCTGGAGGTGTGTATTCAAATTATTGTGGCTAAAAGGACAAAAGCACAGCAGCCTGGTGGATAAGTAAACTAAGGTATACATGCTGAGTGCACAGACCGGCCATAAAACATTTGTAGCAGATGACATAATGCACTGTCTGCCCTGTTACTGTACAACAAAGGTAGCTTTCACCCAAGAGCTCTACAAAACAATCTGAAGATGTCACCTTAGGCTCTGGGAAATTGTAACGGTGATTGTTCAGTATTTTCTGACATTTTATAAATTCCACAATTAGTCAGTTAGTCCAAAAATATAAACACATTCATCAGTGTTAAAGATAATTGTTATTTCCAAACACCTACAACACAATATTTAATATCAAACATCTGTGGATCTTTAAACACTATGTATTTTAGGCCTGCAACTAAATCTGTTTTTCATTGTTGATCAATCTATCAATATTTTTGGGATTTTGTGATTACTGGTTAATGTTGTCTATAAAATGTGAGAAACAAGTGAAAAATGCAGATCACAATTTCGCAGAGTCTAAGGGAACATGTTCACATTGCTGGATTTGCCAAATTTATAGTCCAGAACTCAAATATATGTGAGCATACTAACACAACATCAGAGAGGCTGGAACCAGCAAATGTTTGACATATTTGCTTGAAAAGTGAGTTAATGAGTAATCGGTTATCAAGTTCCTGATTGATGTTCTTTTCTGTCGATTAATCAATTAACTAACTACTTCAGCTACAGTAGCAACTGTTACAAAACACACAAGAAGTCTGATGCAGGCTGTTGTCAAAGACAGCATTATCACAGGTGTGGCAGAAGGACCTCTGATGACCCATATCTAAAGCACAGTTTCTTTTCCCCTGAGCACAACTTTCCTGTGGAGCCACTTCTCCATCTCCGCCTGATCCCGGGATAAAGAGTTTTCTGTTCTGGCTCTGTCATGCTCCTCTGCCTGTCTCCGACTGTCCCCCATTTTTTTGTTTTCAGCTCTCGCTGCATCTCTTTATTTCTTCCAGTCTTTAGGACTGTTTTTCCACTGTTTTGTCTCTTGCTCTCTACACACGCTCTGCTTCTTTCACTTAATTGTCTCTCTCTCTCTGTCTGATACTCCTTTCCACTTATGTGAAAAGCTTTAAGAATTGCCTATTTGTTTGAAAGCACTGTTTCACACTACTCTTCTGCTTTTGTCATGATACTGTCTCCTCTCCAATTCTCCCTAACCTCTTTAAACCTCTCTTCTTCTACTTCCCTTTTCTGACACACTTCTGCACGTTCTTGCTCCTTCACCCGTCCCCTCTCCTCTCCTTCTTTGAAGTCTTTTCCACTCATTTATCCCTTCCTTTACAAACTCCCTTGTTCAGGCCCCATGCACGTCTCACCCTCATACGTCGTCATCGTCTCTTTTTTGGGTCCCATTTTCCTTCTCTCCTCTTGTCCACCAGTGAGGATACACAATAAGTTGCAGGGTAGTTATAACTCTTGAATGCAGTCATGTCAGTCACTTTGTCAGTCACTCAGTCAAAGACCCGCCCACTACTTACTCTCCAACAGTTTTCATTTTTAAATTTTGTTGTGAAAAAGCTTCAGAGACTACACTTGTCTCATACAACAGCCCTGCAATAAATTCAACCTTCATGAAGGTTATCATGTTCAGCTTTTGTTGAAACTGTTGTAGAGAGGTGTTAATTCATGTTGGAGGCTGCAGTTTGTGTTGTTGTTGTATGGTATTGGTTTATAATGAGGGTGTTTCTCATATATACCCTCATTAATATAAACATGGTGGACAAAACACTAGAGCATACACTGTATAATGCAATACAGTTCAACAGCACCACAAACTACAGCCTCCAAAATGACCAAACATTGAACCAACCTAATAAATTAGCAGTGTAATTCTTATTTAGTATGTAGTTCTCACACAAAATGTCTCCCACAGAAATCCTTTACATATCCATTAAATATAAATTTTGAGAACATCTTGAGATGGGATGTTGCCACAGATTTTTTTGAAGATGTCATTTTTATGATGCTGCAAGCACCGCAAATGAAAACCCATTTATTTATATTGTATTGAAGTGAGGCATTAATCTCTGGCTATAGGCTCAGTAACCATCATGGCAATACGATTTTTGTATTACAGTAGTAATGTAAGAGTGACTTTTTAATCAGTGCCACAGGAGGAGGTCAAGCGGTCACCAAATACATTAGGGCTCTGTTGACTTTTACGTTAGTTTTATGGCCATTTAGAAAGAGGTTGTTGAGACATCTAGGGTTCAACGAATGAATGGACTAAACAAACAACAATCCCATTCTCAAGTCCCACAGCTGGCAGAACAAAGATCATGTACGTTGGTGACTATGAGGAAAATAGACAAAAACTGAGAGTGACACCTCTTCTCTCGCTCACTTCAACCCACAGACAAAACACACAGACAAGGAGGGACACAGTGCAGACATACAGAGAAAGGCCACCAGTTGACTTTGAATGTGAGAAAAGTGTTTACTACTCCTTTCTTGTGACTAATTTAGGTGACAACACACATACATACACCCCTTGAAATAGCCCATAGGTTATTGAAATAGGGAGCAAAGTGTTCGACTACAACATCCATTTGTCATATACATCCCCTGTCAAGTCTTTAACCACCAACCTTGTTCAGACTTAATCCACACTATTTATCAAATCAAAACATGTATATGTGTATATGTACATAATGTATGTCTTTTGTAAAGGAAACCCAAAATCCACAGATTCGATTTCTGCTTCCTGTATTTTGTTTGCAGACGTGACTTTGTGTTATGGGATGTGGTGTGCACAATGTGCATGTGTGTCTGTTTCTATTTTTCCAACATTACCCACACCCATTCCTTTGAGTGCCGGAGACCGGCCCACATGTGTGTGTGTGTGTGTGTGTGTGTGTGTGTGTGTGTGTGTGTGTGTGTGTGTGTGTGTGTGTTCCTGTACTGCACAACAAAGACAGCTGCCTGTTCTCAGTGGCATTTTTTATTCCTAAATTAGCAGCACTGCATTACAGTGTGCAACACATCCTTTACAAGACACACACACACACACACACACACACACACACACAAACACACACACAGCAAAGACTAAGCACACTCGATACAGTGTGAATCTGTCATGATGAATAATTTCCTTTTATCTCAGCTGAGACATAGTTGGACCTTTTGTAACTTGTTCCTCCCTTCACTTTACGAATCTTCTTAGGAATTTGCCATTTTATGACTAAAGGACATCATGTTTCTCAAGAGGTTTAAAAACATAGAAATGAAGCGCATGACCTCAAATGTATCCTTGAACTATTGAAGAGAAGATGTCTTTGTCTCTGCGACTGCTGAATAGCTGGATAATAAAAGCTAACAGCTACTGAACAGATGCAACTAAAGTGTTTTCTCTGTTAATGTGTAAATGCGAGAGAGATAGGAAGGAAGAGACTGAGGGTGGGGGAGTCAATGGAGGCAGTGCACTGATGAAGGAAGAAGAGAAAGAGAAAGGAAAGTACAAACAAGATATCAAGTTGGGAAATACGAGGGAGTGAAGGAGGAGGAAGAATTCAAGCCTGAGAAATTGAGGAGGGTAGGGAGACGGGGGAGAGTGTGGTTGGGAAGGAGGGAATAAGGAGGGACACAAAGAGACATACAGAGGGTAAGAGGGAGTGGAGCATACTAGAATGAGTCACACATGGTAACCACAAGGCTAACAGAGAGCAGCTAGCAACAGACTTCATGCCCCTCACGCTGTAGTCATTATCAGCAGATAAAAGGATGGAGTAAATTCCCATAATTTCATCTCACCTTACGTCCATAAAACTATTAATCCTGCACAAACTGACGAGAATCAACTCTAATCAACTTTTTTTAAGATTTGAATCCTCTGTTGTGCTTCCAACATGTTCACACTGAAATAAAACGGTGACCCTGTGATGTTTAAATTTTCATTTAACTGTTATAATACTGCTATGTGTGGACTGGTTAACAAATGATAAATGATTAGCTGTGTACCCGCTGCCTCTAAAGAAAACCTTTGTGGTTACATAGGGAAAGACTTGAAGGTCGCAGTCACATCCCTGGTATAAAGTCATTGTCTTCTTTTTGAGGTTTCTAAATTTGTGTTTGTGAGGCACCATAAGTGTTGTGAGGAAAGATGAGGAGAGAAAGTGTGTCTCTCTCTTACTCCCCTCCATCTCTCTCGACTGTTTCCCTCGCTCGCGTTTTCTTTTTTAAGATCTGTGGTCATGTGAGGCAAGGTGAGGACAGAGAGCTAAGTCTGTCTCACCTGAGAAAGAAAAGAGAACTCTTTCTATTGACACCTTCGTTCACCCTCTCTCCATCTCTGGCTGTCACCCTGTAACCTCGCTCATCCCTCTTTCTCTTTTCTCTCTCTGAAACACTGTGCACATGTGAGTTGAGTTAACGTGCAGTTATATTTTTTACATATACATTTGTGCAAAATTGTCATTCAGCAGATACTGTCGCTGTCACTGTTGCTTTATCCAACAAATGGTCAACATCTTACAGTCCTCTTTTTCTTACAGTTCTATATATCATACAGCAGAATTCAACAGCTCCTGTATTTGCCCTTGTCACAATCTGTCCTTGTGCCACTTACTGTTATCACCACTGCCCTAATCAGCTAGCCTTTTAACAACACACACACACACACACACACAGATCAGATTGTGTTCAATAAAGCATGCCACAGTGTATATATTGAAAAATTCCTCAGTAGGAGGTCGTCACTGGTACTGAAAAAAATATATCAAGCTCCTAATTGGTGGTTTTTAATAATCTGATCCATGATACCTGTTAAATGTCCACTCTGCTAATGCTTTTTACGTAATGCTATTTTTTTTTAAGGGTTACGTATAAACAAATACAGTGGACGTCTACTATTTTTATCTGGTGGCTTTCAATAAGGACCAAAGGTACAGACACAAACAGCACCTCTTGTGTACCTGTGTACTTTTTAATCTAGTAAAAACAGTGTGCGTGCAGGAGGAATCTATACCGGCACGTTACGCACGTTGGTCCGTGGGCGCATGCAGTCCCATTGTCCTGGCACTGGTGCGCTCGAGGGGAAATGTCCTGATAGCTTTATAGGCTTATAACAGATGTTGTATTGCACTCTCGCATTTTAACGACTTTGAGACGTTTTCTAGAAAAAAAATCGCGTGTATACATTTAATTCGAGCCTTTTTATGTTTTTAAGTAACCGAATGAGACAGTTCATAAGAAACATACTGATTTATCCAGTTTTCCTTCGCAAGCAACCCTGTTTAGAGAGCACTGCCATTGGCCTGCGTTACTTAAGACTAGCCTACGGTTGCTAAACTATGCTCCAGTTGCCTAAAAATGATGCGCAGCAGCATATCTGGAAAACTTGGAACTTCATTAGAAAATGTCTTCAACTGAAGAAAACACTTGAGGAGTTAGAGTTGTGTGAAATATAAGCTATATTCATTGTTCAACACTTACCTCTGACAAGTTGGAGATAGCAGCGACAAAAACGAGGAAATTTCTCTCAGGCAGACGGATATGTGAGTCAGAGCAGCGACTTTTTCTCCACACTGTGCGCCAACACCCTGCCTTCACTACTGTGTCACTCAACAGGTTGGCTTCTTTTTTTTCAGAAAAGGGGGCTGAGTTTAAAATGCTGGAGTTTTTGTTCTGATCCTGGGTCGGTTTGTGCTGCTCCGACTGGCAGATGAAGAGCAGAGGGCTGGAGAGGAGCGGGGCGGGGAAGCTGATCCAGAGTCAGGACTGAGATCCGGGAGGAGGAGTGGGGCGTTTATGTTTGAGTGTCGAGAGCGAAGATGTCGAAGTTTGTCGAGTTGGGTCGATTTACCTCCACTCTGGGAAGTGCAGGTAACAGCTAGATGCATAACAAAACGACACGACGGCTGCAATGAAGATGGATAGTAATCATTTTAAAGTATAGTGCTGTAATATATATAAAAATGGGACTTTAGAAAGTCAATAACTGCCCTTTTCAGTCATGGAAACAAAGGTCGTTAAGGGTCATAGACTAATAATCTGCAGCTTAGAGCTGTGTGTAAAAACAACACTGATATACTACGATTTGGTTGAGCATATAGCAACATTTATTTTAATTTTGGATGTGCACAGCAGTTGGTTTCTTTCAGATTCTTTCAATGCTGAAATGTTTGACCACAGGGATAATATAACTCTACAGGTTATCATACAGCAAAACATGCAATCATGTAACATTAGGCCACAATGACTCAATAACATCACAATATGTTCCTAATAATGCACCACTTCAGAAGCTATATGCAACATTATGGTAGTGACTCAACTGAGCAGCCTGTCATGTGCCTTTATAGGAATAAATATCTTTGTTAATATACAGTAAATGACCCTGATTTACATTATCAGTACAGATAGAAATGTATCCAAAACGGGAACATTTTGAAAACAAGAAATAATCAGGGGGATTCATTAATTTCTTTTCACTTGTGACATGTCAGTCTATGAGGCTGCTTTCACACTTTTCACTTACTTTCAGCAGCACCTCAGTTTTCTTCAGTTTTTTTTTTTTTTGGTAAATGTTATTTCTTTCCACAGGTCTGTACAAGTATAATCATTTGAGCTGGTGTTTTTTCCTCCAATCAACCCCCACCACACAGCCAATCTCTCCACCCCCTGCCTGTCAACTCTTCTCCCTGGATGAAACCGGTTTGTCAGGAACGATATCAGATTTCACTGCTGTCATCTTCCGCTTTTCTACAAGGTAAGGCAGAGGGGCGGGGCAGCAGTTTGCATGGCAGTTTGGGAAGAAAGACAGAGAGACAATAAAAAGGGGGGAGGAGGTTGAGCAACATGTTAAAATTCAAACACACAAACATGCACACACAATTGCAAGTGAGTTATAAGAGAGAAATAACAGCTTACTTGTTCTTCCCAGAGCACCTGTTATCTGTGAAGGCAAAGCAGGATGTGTTACTGAAGTTACACACACTTCAATCCACAGTCACATCATTTCTTCTCTGATGATGCTTATTCTAACATGGCTTTGACTTGAGATTTAAAAAGAAAACAAAACCAAACATGTATGAATAGCTAACGTCTTTTGTTTCAGTCTCAACTCAATAACAGGTGTGATTTGCTTACAAAGTAAAACGCCGAGTCCTCCAGCCACCAAAAAGCTGGCACAGACCAAGCCTCCAATTCGTAGCCTTTCATAGTCTGTCAGATAGATCAATCAAAATAATCAAAATAAGTGGTTACATGATACTTTACACTTATCTTTTTATAATCCATTCAAATGGGTGAGAGAATGTACATAAGATGTGATAAAGGTGTCTGTACTTACTGTAAACAAATGGATCTGGAAGCCAAACGCAAAAAGGAGAAGAAGAAATAAGAAAAACAGAGAAAAAATTATGGACATTATTAATATTATCTTACTTATTTAAAAATGTTAATGTACAAGTTGGCCCCAACCATTGGTCCATGTTACTGGGATAAATTTAGTCTTTCTTAAGCATCCATTTTGAGTTGGTAAAAGTAAATCTGGTTTGATGCTCCACCACTACAGAAGATACAATTTAGGAAAAAGTGGTTTTATCAGGTTTGTCATGGAGACAACAGAAGTTAACGGGTGTGATTTCTTCAGAAACCAGTTCAACAACAAACCAGTCTCAGAACACGAAAAGGGGAAAGTTGAGTTTTGGCCTTACTTGCTTCAGTTTCCATGAAAAGGGAGAAAAGCACTGAAAGAAAGTCAGACAAATAAAATGTTAATTTTATTGAGTGGGAGTCGTTGCTGCCAGACAATGTGTCACCTCACAGTCAACACTTTCAGGAAATTAGAGAAACAGGTCTTTCTAAAAAAAAAAAAAGATTTATCATTTTGGTGTCATGGTCAAGGGTTGCTTTTTGCTCAAGCGTATTTTTGTATCATGAATCTCTTAGGAAAAGGAAGGAACTTTTACCAGTAGAGTGAAAAAGGTTTGTAGGTGTGGATGATCTACTCTGATGCCCTTTACAGGTTCATGCATTACAGTTGTGTAAACTGTCGTCTGCTAATAAAACTCTTCTGTGACACAATCTTCTGTGGTAGAAATTCACAGACTCAGATTCTTCAAGCTTTGTTTTTAGTACTAGATGGTAACATTATCTCCCAGAGAAAGGAGAGTGATCCATGACCTTGAGACTATGATCCTTGTTTGTAGCAGATACGCAAAGACCATTTTTTTTCTCTGTTCCAGGAGAGTCCATTTACGCAGGGCACTAATGACATGAAATGATGTATGTACGTATGTGGAAAAAATCTGTTTTATATTTTAATTACCTGCCATTATGGCCACAAGAGTGATTTGTCCCATCTTCAACACAACTAAGAGTCAGACAGAGAGAGAGAGAAATAAAGAAGGAGAGAGAATATGATTGTGAGAGACAATAAAAGAGACAATAGAAAAGCAAAGAGTCAACTTTTTCCCATCACTTTCCCCTTCTTTCTCACACGCATGCATGCAAGCAACAGAGTACACACTTCTCCCTCTCCCCAGGAAGGACGTCCTTGTTGTGTGAGAGGTCAGTGTCTCGTCGGCAGGGATGTGTTCTGGGTGTTTGGAGAGTAAACACCGGATCATTTCTTGTCTCGGGGTGAAACCCAGCAGGTCTCCAGACAACTTTCCTTCAACCTTCACTCAAACTGCCATGTGCTTTACAGTATCTAAAGACTATTTTTCGTCCTTACACTTTTTATGAGACATTGTTTTTTTTTTTTAAATTGACTTTATAGAGGATAAAGTTTAATGTCTGTGTTTCTCATTGACTGTACAGGTTAGCTACTGATGAGTTTTATCATTTTAAAATATGCATTTTACACTAGATAATGTATAGTAGTAAGATATTGCTCTTAAATTAGCATAGAATAGTCATCCATTGCTGTCATCGTTAATTGGGTTTATCTGGTTCGTTTGGAGTTCAGAACAAACTTTTAAGCAAAAACCTTCAGGCTGTTCATTTTCTCAAAAAATATAAAAAACATTTGCACTTATTTCTTCTCATGCAAGTAACTAAATTCATAAGTAAAAATACAGCATATACAATTTCAAACATTAACAATGAGTTCTATCTGTATAGGACAATTGGACCAGCATTTTCTTTTTTACACAAACACCCCTGTTAGGCACTGTCACCTCTAACTGACCTTGGACACCCTTGAAGCTGCATGGAGGTTAGATTCACTGCAGCTTTTCCTCTGTCATTCACTTCTGTCGGGCTCAAACAAGTTTTCCATTCACAGGTAGTTCTTTGCAATGTTCCTCCCTGGTATTTAAACCATATGTAGCAATAACACAGTGAAATTAGCAAAAAAAAAGTATCTGCATTCGCCACGTAACGCCTTGCAGCAATATACAAGGTGCGCCAGCTTTTCAAGACATGGACATCATATGAAAACATAGATAATACAGAGAACCGTTATCAAGCCCTTTTTGTTACTTCCATCATGACCTTTGTCAGAGAGTTCTTGCACTAGAGTATCAGTTAGCATGACATTACTCAAGGTCTTTGTCTTCAAATCCCATGTCTCAAAATGCCTCCCACTTCTCAAATGACAAAACAGCAGCAAACAGAGCAGAACAGAAGAGATTTTCTGCTTAGGTTAAAAGTGATTTACAAGATATTTAAATTTTGGCCAATTTCATGGATGTTATTGCCCAAGATCAAAACTGGTACATTTTAACCAGAACCAGTTAACTCTCGTTAACTAAATCACTGCAGTGCCGGACATCCTAAATGTTTTCAAAAAAGATGACAAAACACAAAGATAGAAAAAATACAAGTCTAAACATAAATCGGCCCATCAATCGTAATGAGTCCTATTGCACATGTACAAAATATCATAAGTTATAAACGGAGGTTATACATGCCTTGAATTTATCTGTGAAACTTCAACCTTGCTTTATTTCTTCAAAAAAATAAATTCCTCAAATGACCTCACCCTGCTGCATGTCCTTCATAGCCCACAACACTCTGCCCTCTCACTAATGGATTAATAATCATTAAATGAAAATCACAAGCCTTACACCTAGATTTTTCCACAGAAGGTGACCTTGATCCCAAACTGTCATTCCAATCCTGCCTTGCTCCACCGTACCTGTGCTTACCTGCGCTGATGGATTCAGGAGCAGAAGAGAGTGTGTGAGTGTGAATGTTCCACAGCACTGCCTGGTTAAAAGTATGTCTTTTCTATTTCACCTGAATAAGTAGTGCCCGCTCCTCCTCTTTGTTTGGGATATAAACTTCGGTGCGCGCACGTGTCCAGTGTGAAGAGAGATAGTTGCAGGTAGAGATGTGTTAATGTATGTACAGGAAACTAGCAGCAGTGTTATTCCATAAACATCAGCATGTGTGTGTGTGTGTGTGTGTGTGTGTGTGTGTGTGTGTGTGCATAGTTTACGATTTTCCTCCAACCATTTTTACATATAACTAATCCCCATGCTTAAACTTACACCAACAAAACTGGTTTGACACACCAGTGATAGTTAGTGAAGCCTTTACACTGTGTTTAAACAACATATTGAAGTAACAAAATCAGCCATGTATTGTCTGTATTGTGGTTCTGTGTGGGGCCAGATGGGGAATCAGTCAAAGACTATGAGAAGATAAAATAGTCTAAAGTCTGAAATTCTGAGGGTTTAGTGGACAAAACCTTACAGATACAGCAAAAATATTTTTTTCTTCTTAGTTTTCTTACTGTAATTTCTACTTTTTCACAGGTAATCTTGGATGTTGGATGAGACAAAGAGGTTGTTTTTGTGTCGTATGGTCCTCCTGTCCTTCCTCTCTCGTTTTGCTGGCCTCCACTGACTTTATTATTCTGCTGTGTCTGTCTCTGTCAGGAATCCCAGGTGTCCCCAAGTGCTCCGCTCTCTGTGGAATAGCTTGCACTGCGTTAGTCCGATGGTTGACCGGCTTTCACTTGACCTGGGCGGTAGGGATAGAGTTTATTTATCTTTACTTATCAGGATTCATTCAACTTCAAACATAAGCAGGTGAAAATTATTGTCAGTGTTCACCAGCAGAGCTCCATTTATCCCATAATATACTGTATGTAGGTGGGTATCTGTGAAGATTTGACGGCGTTACCCCTATCTGAGCGCATGCAATACATGTGTGCAGAAATATGTGAGTGCATTTGTCACTGTTGTAATCTGTGACTATTTATAACTTTTCTTGTCACATACTGACAAAGCTGTGGCATGCATCAGCCTCTTAACGAATGATAATACTGTAAAGACAGAGGCGATAGAGAATGACACAGACACAGACACAAAGAGACATAGTTTGAGGTGTGTGTGGTTGTGTGTGTGTCTAAGTGATAATACAATAATTTGACAGCAGATATTGAGGCAAATGGTGACGACAAAGCAGAGAGATACAGAACAATAAAGATCCAACATCTGAAGCTCTACAGTGGCTTTAATTGTCACATTGTTTTGATTTCACATTAATAACTTAATGTCATGTTTTTATAAGGGGATTTGATGACATTAATCTACACACAACATCCAATTATGACAATGTTCAAAAGATTTTTGCAACAGTAAATCTGTAATACACAATATGGAGAGTGAAGGATTTTTTTTGCCCTCACTATATTTGCTGTGTTTGCTGGTGTCTGTCTGCATAAAGCACCACCTGCCTGTAACATTGTTTGTGAGGTTACATAAAGGTCACTTTGTTCCATGACAATGGCGTGTCATTGATAGAATGAGTGCAGCATGAGACTGTAGAGGATAGAGGATACCCAGTGGTGTTTCTCTCAGTAGATGCATCAACTTGGATGTTTCTATTTGGGAAGAAAATTACAATATTACTGTCCTCAGCAACACATTGTCTCATCCCCTCCACTGAGCATTTTGATGATGTTACATTAGTGTTAGGCAGAGCACAACATTAATGTTTAAATAATCAGTATATACAATAAGTCTTGCTGAAAACTCTGACCTTTTGTGTAAAAAAAAAAAAAAAAAACTGTAAAAGCAACACAATTATATGAAAATAAACCATATGAATTAGTTTAAATTGCAGCAATACAATTAGATTGACTTCATAAAGAAAAACAAAGATGATTCCTGTGGACATCAAGTCTAAATATCACTGCCTGGTTGACATAAAAGAAAAACCTAACCCTAAAAATTGCTCTTTGGTTGTTTACTGCAATCTTATTGCAATCATACTTTTCTGCATTGGTCATTTTATAATGTAAGCTAATTTATACTTCGAGAAGAACAACATAGGAGACACAGATCCGCTCTCACAAGAACACAAGAAACTCCACAATCAGCAGTTCAAGACACGATGTCTCTGATGTTCATCAGTTTTTGTCTCATTGGTCCATCATGGATGTGGCAAGATAAAGGTTAGTTGTAGGGCAGTTAAAATGACTCAAAAAGTTGTAAAACTAATCACCTACTCCCCCACCAACATGACTCAATATGATCAACTTGTTATTCTTTAACTTTTATTGTAATAGTTTAACTTATGTTTCCTACGGTATTGATGGATGTAACTTAAATTGATTCATGACAGTTAAAGGTCATCTTGACGACACACACTGAACAATGTAGGTTATCAGCGAAGGCCCAACCACACACACACACACACACACACACACACACACACACACACACACACACATTTCACTCACACATAGCAACACCTGTGTCTCTGTTATGGTGGTATTCAGAGTGTTTGTCCATAAACAGCAGAGCTAAAAGTCTAAGGACAGGTTAGCTTACATAGCAGAGAGTCAAATCCAGTCATTCAGCAAATAAGTGAGCTTTAATAAGATCTGGAAAAAGAACACAGAAGTTAATTCAACTTCTAGGTAATGGATAGTAATTCATTTTTCCTTGCCTGCAAAGTCATAATTGGAAACAGAAGTTAGTGGTGGGTCCTCACATGACCGGGGTGCAAACATCAAATTTATGTGGTCACATTGCATAGCGATCACGACAAGACTTTATTAAGTTGTTCAGAACATGAAGAGACCAGACTTCAGAATATGACGGAGAGCCATCATGGAGTGAACTGAGGTGTAGCTGAACAGCTGAGTCAACACGTTGCTCCATACTACTTCTGTTGTATCAACTAAAAGATGAGGGAGAATTCTGTCCTGCTGTGTGTGTGTGTGTGTGTGTGTGTGTGTGTGTGCGTGTGTGCTTTGCTGGCTCTATCGGGTGTCACAAGACAGTCAGGGGAGTGAAGACCACAGTTAAAGTCAGTCATTCACATTCATTGGTTAGTGCTCAGTTAATTGAATTTTTACAATGGCCAACAAGAAACTGTGCAGGTTATTTGTGTTTGTGTAGTAACATGGCTTTATTTCAGTGAATTTGGGAACAGAATACAACATTAAAACAGTAGGTTGAAGTGGATGGTGTAGATTGACATTGACTCCTTTTGTGTTTTTTACTTTGTGCCATAAAACAACATGAAGTGGGAGGGACAAAGGAAATCAAAGCCAAATACTGACCCTGACACAAGCTTACATGTAAGGAGTTCACCACCAGGAGGGAGCAAAAGACACACCAACACTGTGTTCATCAGTTTACTGATCAGTGTGTCTATCTTTGCTCTGGTAGCTACTCTCTGCCTTTCACATGATGTTGCACTTTAGGATAATTGCAGCTACTCTACCTTTTACATGGACATGGAGAATAATCAGCCATTTATGATGTAACTGTGCAGCAGGTGATTAATAATGCAGAGGATTAAGAGATGATGAAGGGATAGAGAGATAACATCCAAATTAGCCACATTAATTCACAATCTATCAGCATCTATATAAAGTGCCCACCACCTGTTAACAAACTGTCCGACCCAGTTGTATGCTGCTGTGTCTACATGGCTGAATATGAAGAGCAGTTGTTGCAGTGTGAGTGTTTCTAATATAATCAGTCTTAACATTTACACATAGAGTACTGCATGTTAAAGGTGGAAACTTAAATTCAAATTTGTGTGTCCAGATAGATAGATAGATAGATAGTGTCCCAATTACCCAGGTGAAATGAAATAATTCACATTGTTACAATCATTTCATGGAAAAAAATATAAATAATAAAAAAAATATTTTATTCCAACTTTATGAGCAACAGTGTAAATAGAAAATGCTGCATGTACAGTATTAGACTACAACATTTGTCATGTCAGTGCTGGTTTGTGCCACAGGTACTTCATGTACTACAATAGGTACGTAGGGTCATACATACATACATACATACAAAGGTCATATAGGGATTGCAGAACTCTCTGGTGCACAATGTCAAGTTTTAAAGGAACTGAATTCACCAAAAATGTGCACAAGACTGGAAATACAGTATACTATACTACAGTATGAATCTGACGATCTGATTTGCATCATTGCATCTTTCCCTTTCCTTTAATTAGTTTGGGTCATACAATCTTAAGATTGCCAGACATTTTAAGAGCACTCAGTTTTTGTTTTGACATCACAGAACTTTAATTTGGTGTGGGACAACATACTGAGAGAAAGCTCTGATTTGAAAGTATATCTCATGTACAGTGTCACCAGGCGACAAGAACATGACGAGTTATAAACAAGGATGTATTATAGTAATGTAATCATAAAAATATCTAAATAAATTAAAAAGCAGTGAAGAGTGCACAAGCAACAAACACCAACAAAAGCAGAAAAACTAATACATCTCTGAATTCGTCCTGTGGAACTAAGAACCACTATAGTTTCCCTTTAGGCAAAGATGGTGACTGTGTGACCATAAAAACACTCAGCATGAGAACATTATTACTTCATTGACTAAATCTCTGTCGCAGCTACCTCAAACACCAAACATAATCATGGACAGCACACCAGAGGAAGTTTATTATAACATTTATTGAAATAGATGAATAAATGAATGAAAGCTGCTGCTGCGGCGGCAGGGTGGAGGGAGAGAAAGCAAAGAACTAACCTACACTCAGCCCCCTCAGCTGATCAAGCGGGAGCTGGTAACAGGAAACAATAAAACAAAACAGGATATAACAATTGCAAATAAAGGATTATAAATTGAGTATAGAGTTTTAATTGATTAATGTGACAAAAAAGTGCAACGTGGTCTAATGGCTGTTTTAGTGTTTATTATTTACTATCATTTTCAAAGTGAATATTTTTGTGGCTTGTTATCGCCTCAGTGAGTGCTTCCCTCCAGTGGACAAACTGTGAAAGTGTAGCAGACTAACCTGGTATTAAAGGCACTGGGATCTTCATCAGTGGGTTCTTTACTTCCATTAGTTTGTTATAGAGCCGTTATTCATATGTACTAACACAGAGAGCAGCTGCTCTCCTATTCCTCATTTAACTGGTGACTGTTTGCAGAAAATCTCTTTGTGGCCGCTTACTCCGCATTTTCAAAACCTCTGCTTCCGCTTACTGCTGCAGTCAGTACTTTAACCGGCAGCAACACTCACACTGTTTTTCTTACAAGTGGGAAAAACTAATGAACATTTAGTTAAACAACAGACTGTTCTTCATATCCTGGCTTTACTACATACAGTAATCACAACAACAGATTTTACATGTGTCTGTAAAGGCAGTGCACATTATGACCTCCCACAAGTGGGGAAGGGTCAATCATTTTGGTGGATTGTGTGAACAACGTTCGATTACTGAGGGCAGAAAAAGGAAGTGAAGACTAGATCGGACCTCAGTCATCATCTCCAGACCTGGGTTCAACCCAACTTTCACTTCACTTGGATTGGTCGAAGGTATTTCATTATAAAAGCAGTTCATGCTGTATCCTGTGTGGTTAGACGGTGGAGATGAACCCTGACTACATTTTCATCATCTCTTGCTAAAATACAGTCTTTCTGTCTCCTGTCAGTCCTTTGTTACTATTGTGGTCATATCATCTTCTGTTTCTTTTCCCCCTGAAACCACAAACACATCACACATTACTTACTCACTCAATTTCCGTCCGTCTATCTGTCTATGAGTGTAGTTATTGCTGTTTTTTTTTTTTTTACACATTTTTTTCATGGCCATGCATTGAGGCGGTACTTACTGAAGCACTTCTGCAAGGTCTCAGATCTCCGCAGCATCGTGTAAGACAAACCAAACACCAACAGTATACCAAAGAAGCCCCCAATGCTACAGCCGATGAGAGTGGTGTAGCTGGTGCCGTTGTCTATAGGAGAGGAGAAAACAGGACGTAGTGAGGCAAAATGTAAAATTACATTTGTTAAAAAAAGTCTTGAGAAAAAATAAAATCATATTTATATTTCTAGCACACTGAAAAATTACCTGTTTTGAAGGAGAATCACTAGGTGGAATAAGTTCTGCTTGTACATCGAATTGAAAAACTGTTGAATGGTACTCTTCAATTATGTGATGCTTTTAATTACAGGATTTATCAGAGGTGACTGAAAGCCTCAAAACAAAGTATTTCAAGATTCCAAACATCTTAGCTCCTGTCTGTATACTTACATACAGTACATGTGAAGACTGAATTTAAGTTATTTAAATGTGCATTTTGTAGTGTATGGACCTGCTGAGGGAACTCACAGCGAGATATTTAAAAATGGATGCTCAGTCACATTCACTGTTCTATGCCCCTGAATGAATTTAACCAAAGACATGTGCCAAGTAGTGGTGTCTGGATCTGGCAAAATTATTTAACGTGACTGAGATAGAAGAGTTTTCACCATAAACACGTAGGACAGCAGCAGGTGCATCAGGATTCCTCGACTGCTGACAAAGGACTCGTGTGCCGTTGTCGGAGAAAGAGGTTCCCCTGAGGGTCCACACGGCCAGTGACTCTCCCTTCCCCACATCACAGCTTCCATAGAGAGCCTGAGGAGCGAGACGACGAAGGGGATGAGAGGAGCGGAAAGGGAAGAAAGAATAACATGTTGAAGAATATAAACATGATGTGAGCTGGGATGGGATCCAGCCCCCTGAGAGTTTGCGTGATATAAATGAAAATGTTAAGAAATATAACTTTAAATTACAGTTGCACTGTTTCAAGAGAGAAATTTGACTGTTAAAATTGTTAAAACATTCAATTCAACAAAAATAATCAGGCCTGAGAGAAGATAATGAGGCAGACAGAGACCACCTCACCTGGGGGATATCTTCCACATGGCCGTGAGGGCAGGTGAGGTTGTATTTGCCGTGGCTCCCATAAAGGATGAAGGTGAGGTTGGGAGAATCTTCGGGAACTCCACAGCGAAACACTGCAGGTTCTCCCACAGCCACTGTGACGTCAGCTGGGCGTGTGAGGTAACTGGGTGCTGCAGAGTTGGTGGTGCCGACAGAGGAGATGGTGGTGGTGGCGACGACGGTGGTGTTTTGAGCTGGAACAGTGATTATGTGTAATTGATGTGTGTGTGAGAGAGAGAGGGATGAAGAGAAAAGAGCTACAAGGGGAAATAATTGAACTTGTAACAATGATTACAGAGAAGTAAAAGCATATTTATTTCCTGGTGTAAAAGCCACAGGCACTGTAAATCATGTCCTGTTTGTTAAAATTATTAATTAATTATTACCATTATTAAAGAAAAATATCTGAATTTTCACCTGTTAGTGTTTCAATAAAATCTGATCACATCAGAAAACAATGAAAGACATTTATTTATTTTTACTTTTTACAATTGATCTCTTGTCACAACTAAACATGCAGGCAATTGATCAGAAACTTATGAAACACTTAAGGAACCAAACACAGACACAAGTGTAACAGTAGCAGCAACACGCTGTGCACAACATTGCTCAGGTTATTGTTGAGTTCAGTTCAGGTTTTATGCGTGTTGAAAACAAAATGCTACCTGAGACTTCAGTGTCTGATATCTGACCTTAAGCAAAATCCCTCCACTGGCGTCATAAACATTTGGATATTGTAATGACTGGAAACCTGCGCGCTCCTGTAGGATTTTCTTGGAAGGGTGGAACAATTTGAAACTGCAGAATGAGGAAGTATGATACAAAAAGTGACTCAAATCCCATTGAAAATCTTACAGACGAAGGTTCTTGCCCGCTGCAGTATTTAGTTTTGCAGTGGGATGGGATTTTGGACCTCAGCCTCACCGTATACTTTGTTCATTATTATGACGTCTTGATTAATAGCAATGTATGCATGCTTTCAGTTTAGGCTTTAATGATTTTACTGTGATTAATTACAGGAAACCTTAACCTTGTCATGTTTGTCATTACCTGAGGAAGGTGTGATGAGTAGGAGCAGAGCCAGAAGCAGCAAACACATATGAGAGACTTCCCTCTGTGTCCTCATCTCTCCTTTCCTCCTGTTCTCCATTTCTTCACACTCAGTCTCTCTTATTCCACAGGTTAACCTGAAAAAGTTCAAACAAAGTAACTTTACTGTTCACATTACAATAAAGTAATACACACATATAATATATATAATAACAGAGTCATTGTGTGAACAAGGGCAGATAAACAGTAAAATGGTTATTTGCCCTGAAGGTATTTTGGATACAGTGTGTATTTTAGGAGATTTCAAACTGAGTTGAGAAACATCTGTAAAACATAGTAAATATTTTAAACCAAAGTTTTTATTCAACACCATCAATCGGACGAGAGTATTTGGCCCGAGCAGTACATCAGCCATAAAATTACAGGATTTAAGTAATTCTCCTTGCTTTTAAAAACCTCTGCTGGTTCAAGGCCTCTGTCTTATGAGTATATAAGCGAAACATAACAAATACACAGACAGACCATTAGAACTGTGAAATCACTGACCACAAAATGAACTGGAACTCCCCAAGCAGGTCTGCAAGTAGCTTCCTTATTCGAAGACTGTGAGAATCAAGTCCTATTTTCGTTGAATTTAACTTTTGAGAAGCGCCAACGCTTCTCTCTGACACATGTATCTGCTGGCAGTGTCTCAGTAAACAGTGAGGAGACGGTCGTCAATGTCTCCACACAATGCTGACTCTCTCCATCCTCCCTGGTCTGACCAAGTCATGAACAACAAGGCACCTGAAGGAAGTCGGACACCTTCCTGATTTACAAGCCAGATTTCTGTGGATGAGAAAACAGGTTGAGCAGGCCCGGCTAAACCAATCATAGCTGCTGAAAGCAATGTCAGCTAACCATGGAAGGTTTTTCTGCTGTCCCAGTTTTACTTTTGCTTTTTATACCTTTATTTTATACCTCTTTCCCTCATTCCCCCTCCACCTTTACTTTCTCAATTCTCATACTTGGAGAATGAAATACATGGATGACACAGTTTTGTTTTTCAATAAGTGCCATTGTTCTGATAATATAGGTAGCCTACTATATTGAATTTCCATATATGAAATATATGCTCATATAAAATGAAAAGCTATATGTACAAATTATATCTAAAATGTATTAGGAATTGGAACAATATATATAAAGTGGGTTCCAAAAGTCTGAGACCACTTCCCGAGAATGGGTAGATAGACATGTTTAAAATGAATGAGAAATGAATATATTACATTTCTGTAGCAGAACTTGTATCACTTTTCACAACATACTTGCACTCGCTCTTGTTGGGAGGCTCACTGCCAGCAGTGCGTTGTTAAGTGTTTGATATTGAGACAATGGATTGTATCAAGCTGTGTGAGCTCAATTTCTTTTTAGCTAAATGCAGACATCATCATGCCAACATGTTCATAATGACAATGCTAACATCAGCACGTTAGCAAGTCTAGCAGATGTCTATTTCACTGATCAGCTAAAAAACCCTAAACTGACGGTGGCTCTAGAGGAACAGTCAGGGGATCATCCTCTGGACATTTTGACTGTCATCGTCCCAATCCACCATCAGTTTCTGAGAAAGCCTATTTCAGTCCAGACCGAGGATCGACCCACACTGACAACTGTTAAAAGTTGCAGGAAACTACAAGACTGAGGTGTTACTGCAAGTACTGTAAATATTAGGATGTTGAGGCTAAAAGGAAACGGAACCCTTTAAGACAGTCTGGTGTTGGTGAAGATTTTGTTTTGAAAGGCAATGAAAGAAATCAAAATGAAGTAAAAGAACAAATGTAAAACAAAGGAAATAAGTGTCAGACATAAATTTCCAGATGACTAATTTCCTTTTTGTTTCAATGTTTTTCTAATGCTGGTGTAGTTTGCACACACAATTTTGTTGCTGTGACTGAGATGACTCATCTAACACTCTTACTTGTACAGAAATGCATCTTATCAAATGACATGGGTGGAGCTGCTGCCCTCTCTCATGTGTGACGTGGTAACAGCATCTGGCGCACGATGCTCATGTGTCAGCGTTTACATTTCCAGAAGAGTGAAACTCTAAGTTGTTCTCTGCCTCTGGATCCATGCTTCTTGCTTTGCTTTTTGTTTTGTGTTGATTTATGGAAACGATGATCTCAATGCTGGTGCTTCTGATCATGACAGAAGGTAGGAAAAGCTTATTTTCAAATTTAAGTTTCAAGACAAACTGCAAGATAGTATTTAAATTTTCTTCTTTGTTGATTTCCACTGCTACTATTTTTTCAATTTCAACAAAAATTTTCAAATTTGTATTCATTTCATAATTTTTATCTACTTTTAATCTACTTTATCTAATTTATTCACATAATTGCACGTTTATAAAACAGTATAAACAGGATGAATATCAGGGTCGAGGGTAGACACTAAAACCTAAATGAGCAAAGGTGTCATTTTATTAACACACCTTTATCATGGCACGCTGGACTTTCCCAGTTCAAATTTTTGCTGTTTCACTTTCAGTTTGATACACCTACTTCACTCTCTTGCTGCCCATTATTCAGAAAGTCTTGAAATGCAAGAAATGAATGAATGAATGAATAAATAAATAAATAAATAAAAAACATAGCTGACTCTGGCATCCAGGCTGCTGATTCTCTTTTTTAATTCTGCATATAAATCATTAATTCAATAAAAAAAAACATTTGATAGCATGTCTCATGTTCTCTCTGCAGGAGCTGGGAGTTCTAGTTCGCAAGTGACTTTTGAAAATCAGGATCCTTGTGCTCTAAAGGGATCTTCAGTGGAGTTCAGGTGCTCGTACAGCTACAAAGATGGGGAAACGGTTAGAAAGACTGCGTGGTACAAAGGGAAATTAATAGATGGCATCTGGAAACGTGTTCTGCTTTCACGTCTGCCTTCATATGAAAATCGTACTGAATATCTTGGTGACCAGCAGCATGACTGCAGCCTTGCAATTCATGACCTGCAGGACAATGACACTGGATATTACTACTTCAGGTTTGATATGGACACATATGGATGGCGTAGTAAAAAATCAGTGTATCTGTCTGTCACAGGTAAAATTATTCTACACTGAGTACTACTCTGCAAGTGTGATATTTTCAGCTTTTTCTTAATATCATGGCCTCTGTTTCTTCAACTGATTGATGTCCAGAGCTGATGGCCAGCGTGTATCCAGAGAGAGTGAGAGCAGGAGACAATGTGACTCTTGAATGTGAAGCATCCTGTCAACTTTCTGGCACCGTCTGGTTCAGAGACGGACATCCAGTAGCCAAACCAGAGTTCTCGGCCCAGGCAGAAGATTCTGGAAATTACTTATGTGCTGTCAAAGGACAGGAGTCAGTGCACTCTGAGCCTGTGGCTCTGGATGTTCAGTGTAAGTACTATATGATGACATTTTTGACTGAGACCAGCTTTGAATTTTCCAGACTGCAGAGTCATTTAAAAACCTTGAATTGGTTGTATGCAGAGTTTGACAGAAACATGTCTTCTTGCTTATGGATTAGAAAGACAGAAAATAACTTTTTTTTTCTTTTTTGATACAGGTGAGTGTTGCTCAGTTCAAAGCACTCTTTTACCTGCCTATAGAAACAACGGACGTGAATATCTTTCTCCACTCAGCTAATGGTGACAGGCATAGAGAATGGGAATCTGATTACCGAAATGCTTTCACATGTAGCAAGATACTGTAATAAGTGTAACACTTCAGTTCACTGAAGCGTGCGCCTGCACTGTCCTGGGTTCCTTTTTTTTTTTTTTTAATTCAACCTCTATGAGGCACGCAGTGCGTTCCACTTTACATAAGGCATAGCCGCTAGCAACCTCTCTGCTCCTCTTCACAGGTTCTCTACATCCTGGGTTTGCTTTTACTAATTTAGTTTATGTGTATGTTTTGTTTTGCACCTTAAAACACCTGCACCCACATCTTTCACTCATGCACACCACACACCACTGGCTTGATTGATTGCCAACACAACATACTGTAAGTATTCAATTTGGCATTTTAATTTGCCAGGTACTAACAACGCTTATTAAATAAGAAGACTGATTCCACTATGAGGTCTGTCCATGAACTATGCAGCCATGGCCCGCTGTCAGTTAGCTTAGCTTAGCACAAAGACTGGAAACAGGGGGGAACAGCTAGCTTGGCTCTTGAGAGGTAACATAATGTGATAACTAGCATCTCCACAGCCTACTAATGAACATGTTACATCCTGTTTGGGTGTTTGTTATTTTCACACACTATTTCACAGCCTGACTTACTTTGGCCATGTTTCCTTTTAAACTTGTACAAAAATAACAACAGCACAATGGTCATGTTTTTTATACAGATCCTCCATTTAATGTTTCCATCGAGGTGAGTCACCCTGGCCGTCTGGCAGAGGGCAGCAATGTGAATTTGACCTGCACCAATGCAGCTAACCCTGCAGCAGACAGCTACACCTGGTACTGGGGTTATGTGTCCAGCTCCAGCTCCATGCTGCAGGTGGGCTCAGGACAGGTGCTGTCTCTTCCCTCTGTGGAGGCGTCCCACACTGGACTCTACCTCTGCCAGGCCAGGAACAGTGTGGGGGAGAACAACTCGACAGAGGTGCTGCTGACAGTATATCAAACAGACAGTGAGTACGCAGGGAAGCTGAAGCTCGTGGGTCATTGATAAACTGAGCAGTAATGATCTGTGTGTGTGTGTGTGTGTGTGTGCGTGTGTGTGTGTATGTGTGTGTGTGGGGAGTGATAGTTTTAAACTTGATTTTTAGGGGGTAGGGGATCTCAATCTCAAGATGAAACTACATTTTCATTCTTCACATGTGCAACCATAACTCTGGGATTAGATGCAAAACTACTTGTTAAAATGAGCTGAGTTTAGAAAACACTAACAAACATCAACTAACATTTTTACAACGTACAGTATTTACTGAACATTTCTGTTTGTTAATCGTGTTAGTTCATTTTCTCACACAGTTTTTTCTCCCTGCACTAACAGTTTGGAACAACCGTCTCATCCTCCTTATTGGTATTGGAGTCAAAGTTGTTACTGTGCTCTTGCTTCCGCTGGTTATTGTCTGGGCTTGGTAAGTTACGTTGTACTCAACACTATTCATTTTGGAGCAGTTGGTTAATTTTAATACAACTGTCATGAAGAGTTCTGCGTACAAATGTTTCCTATTTCATTGTTAAAGGAGGAAACGACATAAATCTGCTGTGGATGAAAAGGTAAGGAGGACCCACCCCTGTTTAAATAGATTAATCACAGTTTGTCACAAAATGTCTTATATTGTCCTGTTATGTTTCAGGATGAGGACAGCCATGATTATGAAAACATCAGCCACACCCAAATGGGTAAAAACAGGAACAATAAAAAAACAAAACAGGATTACACATAGGGAAATGTCTGTTTAAAGAAACTACAGAACCATGATGCCATTTGATTACACCGAATACACAACTTGGCTCTCTGGCACAGGAATGTCTGTGGTTTGTTTGTTGCCTCGAGCTCAACTGAGCTTAACCAAAAACAGCTGGACTTAGAGCTGAGCAGCAAGTTTGTCTGCTTGAAAAATGCAGCTGCACCTCTCACTCATTCCCGCCTCTGTCCATGTCATCCCTGATTTGAATATGGCCTTTGTTTGCGGTGACTGTAGCAGTCAGTGTAGTAGTAACAATTGTATCATTATTACTATCGTAGCTCTCCTGGCTGAATGTGCTTGATATATTCATTATGACAGTGTTTTATGCCACTATGTTACATTCATAATTGTGATATATTCAAAAGTATTACTTCCATTTTGAAAAGTGTGTCTGGTCTGAAAATAGAGCTGTTGGACTCGTCTCAGTGGTGTGAATGGTGCAGCAGACTGAGTCCAGAATCAAAGCAGGATATGCTGCCCCCCTCAGTTTCAGATACACATGTACATTATGCTATGCTAAATGTCTTGTTACCTTCAGTCTAACAACTTGTATTATTTACATAATTAATCTCAACCTCTCTAAGGCTGGGGTTCAGGCTGGTGGTTAAGGTTTAATTTTTTTTTTATATTTACTTTTTTGATTTGTGTTTCACCCATCAGGTGCCTCACTCAGATGTGGCAGAATTTTTATGGTTGTAATCAGTGTTTACTGTTCAATAATCTTACTTTGCACCTTCTGATGAAAACTACTGAAACACATTTCACACCGGCTGCATGTAGAAGAGCTGCCATTTACTGCTGTAATATGTATGTAAATAATATTTTTATAAGGCATATTGTCATGATGTCTTGATTCTAGATTAGTTTTCTATTTTCATTTTTTTAACAGAATGTTTGAACATATTTCGCTATGCAATTAACTTGTTTTCAAAGCAAGTTTTCCTTTAAAAGGTTAAGTGAAAATAAAACATACAAAATGTTTTTTCATTAAATCTACAATTTCATACAGTTTGTAAAACTTGGTATCACTCTTCATGCTAAATACATTGCATTTAGAACAAATCTCACATGACATTGGCTGTAGCTTACAACAGTTTTGCAATCAGAAGCTTAGTATGTGATAGCGCAGCACTAATAACCTGCTCTCATTAAAAACATCAGATAAATGTTAAAAATACAGTAACAGTAACTAAACAAAAGCTCTTTAACTGATGAGCACATTTATGAAACTGCCCTTTTAAATATTTAGGAAATGAAGCACTTCTCTTGTTTGCTTCATTAGCTTTTAAAAATGAAGATGTGTACACCACTACACTCAGCTGTTCTCACTTTAATATGTGCCTAAAATAGACTAACGAGATGAAGAGTTGATATCCCAGGACATTTTGTAAGTGGACGCCCTGGTGTCCGGAGTCACTGTCCTCCTGGTTTTCACCCTCCTCCCCCTCCACAGGCTCTGGTCAGGATCTGTTGGTGCCTTATCTCACTGAAGAGTTTACTCAGAACCACACAGGCGTGACCCAGTCTGAACCGCTAACAGCTCTTAATTGGGTCGTCATGACTGCGTTTTTCATAATCTTTGTCATGCTCTTTATAATCAATAACACACTTTCAATAATAGCTGCTTCCGTTTTCTGTTCCTGGACACTGAATACAGTAAATAACAACAAGAAGTCCGGATGTTCAGATGTAATGAACCATGAATGCAGTATTCAAATTCACACCTGTTACTTTCACATTACAACCAAAAACCGCATAAAAAATTCAGTCTATCTTATATTAAATATAATTTCTGACAGAAGCATTTAGCTTATCCCACAGTACAAATGCACATTGAACAAATGATCAGATAACCGAGAGCCAACAGAATATAATATACAATATAACATTCAAATATATTCCAACACTGTTTCTTGTGGTTCAGTCGTTACTAAGTCCAAGTTAATTCTCGTTCAGCTTGGTGCTTTGAAATCCAGGAATGAAGGTTTCCAGAGGAATGTGTCGGAGCGTAATGTCCATCACACTGTGTGATCTCCAGGTTCTCTCACTGTGTGAACTGAGCTCACTGTCAGCAGTGAGTCTTGAAAGTAGTTTTTCCTCTGTGTTAAGTCGTGAGGTCGAGAAAGATATGAACTGTGCCACAGCATGCGATGCAATACTAATTTGAAGGTGTCTGCAACATGAGGTGTGAAAGTAAGTGCACAGGAGTGTATGAGGGTGCTGGAGAAAAAGTCTGCTTATCGTGAGGTTGTTAAATATAATAAAAAAAGTGTCTTCTGCTGTTGTTGGCTGTAGGGTGTTGCAGATATGACTTTGTACACAGTGAGTCCTGGTCTTGCTGAGTCCTTACGGCTCCATGGTAGTTGTGGAAGTGAGGACATACGACTGGTGTTGGGATGACATCTGTCTCCTGAGAGGGACAGACAAATGACTCAACAAAAAATAAGAACCTTGATCTACTTTTCTTGAAATTGAGTACATTTTTTAACCAAAATCCATGCACCGAAGATACTTGGTAATATTGTTTGGTAGCGTGTCATGAACTGGATCTTTTTAACAACACACTTTCTGTAAATATTAGGTCAAACACTGACAATTGTACCTCATTTTTTAAAATCAAATGATTTTATTTATATTTACGACTGTAGCTCTGAGGATTCCTGAAGATAAAATGCTGATAGATCAAAGAAATATGATAATACTGAAGCAAAGAACTCACCTTGTCATAAGAAAGGCAATCACGGCTAGAATAAGCACCAGGACACCGATGGTAACTCCAATAAGCACCGCTTTGCTTCTTGTAGACTCAGATGAGGCCTTTGCTGCAACGAACAGTAAAGTAAAGACAGCTACTGTAAGTCAAACTGTCCCAGGCAATGTTTTATATAAGCGTGTTAATGGACAGAACCCGGACACAGAACATCCCGGTGCCGACTATATTCAATTTAAGCACCTTTGAGTGTCGAGTGAATCAAACACAAGACGTTGCAGTTATGTACGACGCACCTTAACCACTGGGACACCAGGTCGTCCCACAAATAACCCACCATTGTCTCGGCAGGGAAAATGTTTCACTCAGATTTATTTGTAACAGAAGACTGAGTCCAAGGTTTGCTCTCTACAGTACAGTATGTCCAGCTACTACAGTATGTCAGTTGAAATGTTGTATAATAATATTTTCAACTATATTATGATCCCAGAGTGATTTAAGAATCGCTCTGTACACAATAAGGATCATTATTTAATTTGGGCGGATGTCGCTCTTGTAATATTTTCTGCAGGCCTGTGGAGCAAACCTGGTTGTCGCTTAAAACACGCAGGCTCTTCGTTCACCTACCAACGGGACTTGAAAGTGTTACAGTGTAAGTCTGTGATCCATGTCTGTTGCGTGCTACGCAGCAGTGCTTCCCGTCTTCCTCAGCAGTGATGTTGGCACTGCTGAGCGTGGAGCCTCTTCCTGTGGGTGAAGCCAGGGATTGTCTTGCTTGATGGAAGCTTTTGTCTGTTGCAGGGAGACATGCTGCACCATGGTACCAGGTGTACGTGTGGACAGGAGGGTTAGCATCACTGCTGCAGGTCAGGGTAACAGGAAGCGCACTTTGTTGCTGTCCAGCAGGAGAGACTGAGACAATTGTATTTCGAGGAGCGTCTGGACAGAAAGGAGGTCAAAGGTCAGTTACACCAGTCATATTGGATTTTGTCATTGCAGTTTACAGGTCATACCTTTTTGAGTTTTTACCCGAAACCGTATGAGGAAGTTTCTTCATCCAGAAAGAATGAAATCTTTTTCCACATTAATTTGCTTAACTTTGAATATTAAGCAAAGCAGTAAACCAATCTTTGTCTTCCTTTCTTTACTTCCTTCTTTCTTTTTGCTTATTAGAGTTCCACGATTTAAAATGTTTATAATTTAAAAATGATTAAACTTTACTTACACTCTACATCAATGTCCAGCATCGCTGAGCTCTGCACTTTATCTCCAGTCTGTATCTGACAGTAGTAGCTGCCAGAGTCATCAGAAGTAACTTCACTGATGTTCCACACCTGTCCATTATGTCTTGTGGTAGTGCTGGTGTTCCTGAACCATCTGTAACTGACCTGCGGAGTGGCTGAAGGGCTGCAGCAAGCCAGACGTACGGCCACACGCTCAGTGATGCCAGTGGAGGGACTCACTGACGCTGTGACTGCAGCAGAAGAGTCTGGAGAAAACATGGGGTTAGATTACTTAGTTACTTCAAGTAGACAAAATTTCAAATTCAAATGAAATGATTTGTGGGTTTTGACAAATCAAACAAATGTGTGGAACTACAGTATAGAAATACTGGGATTTTAAAGACGTTGTGTTGTGTCTAAGCTGTTTTTTCCTCATCTGAACAAGAAATTAGCTCTGGTGGGAAAATGGTTAAACTGTTGTATATTTACTAATTTCAATATAATTCTTGGCTCAAAAAGATCAAATTTAAGACGACCAGGTGTAAAAATATTATTATTGACCATTTAAAAACCCACCATGGGTAACATTTTGCTATGAAACTGTACAGGAGAAAGCACTTCACCTTTGATACCAATGATAACAAGTTGACTGTAAAATAGTAAATTCTTGCCTCTGGTTGATTATCACAAGTCTCTATTCATTTAACATTCACACTAAAAGATGTTGGTTTTAATAATTTTGTGACGAACAACATGCCATGATAATTTGTATGAAATCTGAGCTGAAAATCTTTCTGTTGAATACAAATATCCAGATAATTCATTTCTATTCTATTACTCTTTATCATTTTTGGTTGTTTTGTCAGCCCGACAGGTTAACAGAACCTAATGGGGATTTGTAAATTACAAAAAATGACAGAGCATGATAACAGAGAGCAACCAGAAAATAAGAATATCACTTCACACGGATGTTTCTCCATAATTTCTTAAGAATATCTTGTGGTGAAACACCACCACCACTAACTACCCTGCCCTACACACACATACACACAAACTGTTTTCACAGACTGTTTTTCAGCAGGCTCTAACACCTTAAATTGCTCCACATCCCCTTTTTTCGATGTTCAGCAAAGACAAGTTAAAATTTGTCCCCACACGTGTGGCTCTGAAAATAATCTGGCCACGAACGCCAACGTAGAATTTGGTTGGAAAGAAGAAACTGTCCTTTGACATTATGACAGATTATCAAATCACACTAAGCTGATACATGATTTACATCCTGGTCAGTTTCAGTTCTACTTCTCATAAATAGCACAACACACAATCAAGCGAAAGGTTGCTCAGAGGAAGTGGTTAATCCTTGTTGGTGCAAAACATCAAATTTATTGTCTAGTTGAGAGAAGTGCAAATAGACTTAGTTCTTTAAGACTTTGTAATAATCATTTTACTGTAGAGCATTGCTAAGAAAACAGATATGAGATCAGTAAGTTGAAAGGATTATTTGTGCCACTCAGATCAGTAAAGACTCATGAATGTACAAACTAACACTAACTGAGTAGAGCTAAACGCTGTCCTTTAAAGACTCGCTTGTGTCACCTTAGATCTATGTCACTGCCAGTGCAACGTTGATGTTAACAAGTGCATATCATTATAATCAGTTGTGATGGTAAATGAAATATTCCCACCTGCCACCAGTAGCTGTATGCCTCTCTGCTCTGGCAGCTTCTGTGTTGGATGGCTGGTGATGAGGTAAAACACGTAGTTTCCACTGTCTGACTGTCTCAGATTAGAAATCTTCAGAGAACAGTTCTTTGTTCCTGGTTGTCCCAGGTACTGCACCCTGTTCTGGTAAGATGGATCTGGGAAAATACCAGCGCTGTGGAACACATACCTGACACAGACAGACAGATGTAGATACAGTAATTAGTATTTTTGTCTAAACTCTGTGCTATGACTTCTTTGAGAAAATACATTGCAGCTCTGGTTTTGTGTGTGCTTCTGTGTGTCTTAAACAATACCGTGGGGTGATACAGCGGCTGTTTTCGAGACACCACATCTCAGATAAAACTTTGTACTGTTGTCCTTCTTCACCTCCTCCAACCTAACAGAGAACAATGAAGAGAGCTGCTAGCCAAGGGATAAAGTACCTTAAAACAGTAGATTCAATGTTTATTTTAACTTGATGCTAGATGTTCAAACCTCAATTGTAAGCTTAAAATAATAGTTTATTTCGACTCCCCTTCATAAACCACCCATATCTGTTTATATCCATTCATTCTGATTGCAGATTTCAGCCCTCGAAGAGTCGACACACTGCAGGATATACTACGCCAGCGAACAATGGCTTCTTTATTGAATTACCTGAGTAGAGAGCTTCCCCTCTCCCCTGGTTTCATTAGAACTTTGAGGGTAGTCATAGGAACAAGGGAGAATCACCGAAGAACCAATCACAGCACAGATGGGACTGGAGGGGAGATGAACCGACCAGTTACCAGCAAGAACACCTGAAAGGCAGAGGATTTGTGTTATAATTAAAAAAGTTTCCACATTATAACCATTCAAAATCATGTGGAAAACACGGTACAGTGATGTAACATAACAAATAAAGTCTTTAATACACTTACACAACCATAATTTAAAAATATGTTGATGTTAATGTATTTGTTCCCAACATTGATTTCACAGTTAAAATAACATTATCCAGAGTCATAGTGAAAACAAAATCAAAGGAAAATGAGGAACCTTTATGACAGTTACAGTTACAATTTGTATTCATTGTATTTTCCAGACATTATGGCTTATTATGGACATTGTTATTTGTTTTTCTTTTTGATATAATTGAAAAGAAATAAGAATGTGTTTGGTTTTTGGAGCAATGTAAAAGAAATCAGTATGCCTATACCTCTGGATGTGGCCTACTTGTTGCCTCAGAAATTGCCAAGATTTGATTGACAACTGCAGTATAATATGACATTACTGAAGATGAAATAATCCTCCAAATATTTGTGGTCACATCGCAGCTTCATGATGGTTTTTTTTATGTCATTCCAATAAACAGTCAAGCTTAACACTTAATTTTGGTCAATCAGTGTGGAAACTATACAGACAGATGTTGTGTCAGCTGATCTTCATCATGCTAAAGGTAGATGCCATCATGAACGCTGGTGGTACTTTAATATATAACTTACCTGTCAGAGAGAGTGTGAGGAGCAGCCAGCAGCTCCGTGCCACTTGTCCATCCATCTTCCTGCTGTTGTGGTTTGTTTTGTAGGGCTCTCCTGGCTTTCACCTTTTCTCTTCGGGCTATCCCCAGTCCTTCTGCTGCCTTGTCTACCAGTCTGCCCTCCTCTGCTCTTTACTGAACTCAGTGTTGTGAGTGTTTCTCTCGCCTCAGAACATACACTCAGAGGTCAGATTGTACAACTTCCCTTTTATTCTTCATGTCAGCAAGGAACTGTTGTGATGGCTGGGCTTCTATGTCATGCAAAGGGAACTTGCTAAACATAAATGTGTGTTTGAAGGTTGCTGTTGGGAGACACGTTATGTTTGCTGACTCATTTGATTATGAGGACACCACACTTGCTGAGGGTAATCTCTGTATCAAATCAGCTATCATCCTGACGCCAGTTTGAAGTCCCTGTTGCGGTTGTGTATTAATATGATTTCTTCACCTTTGCCAATCCTGGATGTATGGTGCCAATGTGCAGGGTAAGACTGCTCTGCGAGCTCTCGTGCCCTCGTTTGTCCAATCAGGAACGTAACTTGACGTCACTCGCGCCCCTCAGTCTGTGCAACTGGCCGCTCACAGGACGACCACACAGACACACACACACACACACACACAACACCGACAAACTCCGGATAAACTTTCACTAACTCACTCTTTCACCCTGCCCGGTCTTCCAAATGATTCTCTCTTTTCTATTAGAAGCGGGAGCAGGTGGTTTTGGTTGATAGAAAACAGTTAAAACTGTAGCTGAAAACGTTTGTCTTTTTTTTTTCCTTCTTTCTTTGGGGTCAGTAACCTGTGAAGAGAGCAGAAAAGGATTTACTGAAAACTGGGATTTACCTGTGGTGGCGTGTTAACAGCACTGTCGCCTGTTTTCGAGACACATAAGGTTATATTGCTTTATAAAAAAAAAAAAGAATTTAAAGCGGATTACAAATAAAGAAGATATATTTTTTTTTCACTAAAGAAGAAGGCCAAGACTCCACCTGCTGCAGGAAAAGACAGGTGAGTCACCGTAAGGCGACGTTAAGAGTGTATTTCAAAAGTTCGTAGTTTTATGCAGACTCTGAAAAGAAAGTCTTAGGTAGTAGCCTAATTTTGGTTTGATCATAACCAGGCTGTGAGCTATGCTGCTGAAACCAACAAGCAGCGTTTTAAATTTACATTTGTCTTTATCAAAATAAAGTAGTTCAACTTTATCATTTGTCCCAAGACATCTTGAGTTTAAATTAGCCTGATAGGTTCAATACTAAACTGACACAAATATCATATCAGAAATCTGATGGCTTTAATGGCTTTTGCAATTTTAGGAGACAAAATATTTTCACCTAAATGACTAACCATAAGCTAAAGATACACCTCAACTCCAAGTAAGAAAGCTTTACAGGACTTAATGTCCTTCTGTTTGCAGTGCAGTGAGTCTGGTAACTGGTTTAACCTTTGTCATGGTTAATTAACCAAAACATCCAGTTATCTGGACTAGAATCTCGTTTATATGAGATAAACAAAGTAATTTCGTCTACTTACTTGATACTTTTGTATTTTCATTGTCAGTTTTTCAACTCGGGCTAAGACATTACACATTGAGATTGTCAGTAGACCTGGCTCTTGACTGGGTGGGTCTTGCACTGTAGATCTTTATCAGTCAAATATTTAGGACATTTTATTAGTAGTTAAAGTGAGTATTAGTATTATTATGAAATATGATACTGTTAGTAGATGGTGAAAGTAGTCTTCCTCTCACTTTATATAATATATTGTATTCAAATTGAATCTTATTTTTCTCCCTCTCTGTCGCTCCATTATCACAGGCTAAAGGGACTGTTGAGGGCTTATACCACCTGCCCTGAGGAGTCAAGGAGAGAAGGAAGGAAGGAAGGAAAGGAAGGAAGGACAGAAGGAAGGAAGGAGCTAGATCATCATACTGTTGCCCCCTGCCTCCCATTGTATACAGATGTATGCTGAGAAAGTTGTAACAGAGGGGAAGATGGGTGAGTGTACATTTTACATGCACTGTTGTTCTTGCTCTCTCCTACCCCTCCCTACCTACTGCACACACACACACACACACACACACACACACACACACACTCTCTCTCTCACACACACACACACATACACACACACAAACATGCATGGATTAAAATGCTGTGCTGGTCATGCTACAGCTCATGCTGCCTGCTCTGTGTATTTGGGACCAGACATCAGTCCACTTCACAGTTAACCATTAACAGGTTTGTTCGAAGTTGGCTGGCTGTCTCTCTGATGTTCTCCTGATTTATTTTTGAGGTTTGTCTTTCAGCTTGGAAAATATTTACTTAGATTGGGTGTAATATTTTCTTTTCATCCAATGAGATAAAGTCCTAACCAAAGAGAAATGTGATAGTGATGTTGATAAGTGGGGCCAGAAATAGCTACAGTTCTTTACACCAAATAATATAAACCAAATGAACTTAACTGCAACACATCATATTTACAGCAATAACAACACACTCTCCTAGCAGTCATTAACAAACAACTCACTGTACCCACATCATCGCCAATATGAAGCTCTCTTACCTTATTGCAACACACTCCCAGCAGCATCATTGAAAACATTAAAATGAAACCAGAAAATCCACATCAGTCCTCCTGTTCATTGGCATTAGCTGTAATGCAGTGTTGTGATGTCGAAGTGTTGGCCAAATATTTTTTCAGTTTTATGGCTCCTAATGAGTTAACTGCAAATTATATGACGCTTCTATGGAGGGAAAGATAAGATTACGTGTTGTATTTTACTGTTGCTGGAAAGCATTTGTTTCAGTATGAACTGTGAAACTCTGTTGGTGACACCTACAGAAATATGTTGCTGACATTTTCTTGTTGTGTCTTGAAAGCCTGTGTCTAGATTTTGGATTGATGTCAGACTTCTTTTTTTCAATAGTTCAAATATTAAAACTTTGTAGAGACAATACTGTAAACCCTACTAGACAACAGTGTAAGTACCCACCTGACATTTTAGGGCCAAATTGAGTGCTGATATAGTGAAGCCGATAGTCTCCCTTTAAGTGAAGTTTTTAGTTGAAAGTTGATATCTCTGCATCTTCTGTCTCATCAACAGGTCTTCTTGGTCATTGTGTCCGTTGTACTCTAACTTTCTGTGTTTGAATGTGGCCAGCTAGATGTTTGGTTTTTACAGCTTCTGTTGCCTGACTGAAGGGAGTCCACCCAGACGCAATGAATCAGACTGTGTCTTTGGTGTGTGCATGTAATTACAAGGAAAACACAGACTATTCAAGGAGTGGCACATATGGTGTGGCTTTTTTTGTGTGTGTGCATAGATTAAGTGCGACATCATTTTCAGAAGCAAGCTGTATTTACCTTATTGTGACATGCTTATACACCATGCATGTCTGAACAAGTACAGAAACGCAAATATGTACACATACGCAAAAACACTCACACAAACACTCTTTTTTTCTCTAATCAAGAGAATATTCACTGGACAGTGTGATTATGTTTATTTTTACTTTTCCGCCATGACAGACACTACAAGTATGAGTCATAAATTCTGCTGTGTCTTCTCTCTGTGTATGTAGGGACTACTTCTGCTTCATCCCACTCCTAGATACGTAAAACCTTTGTAGTTTCTGTTTCCCATAGTCCAAATCTCTGTGCTTTTAAGAGGACAAAGGATAACACAGTGAATGCTGACTATGCAATGAGGTGTGCAGTTGGTCAGGAGACCTAATCAACATAAACCAAACATATATAAAAAAAAAACTAGAAAGCTAGCTAGTTGAGATTTCATCTGTCAAATTAATTATTCCCAGATCAGGAATGAACTCTCATAGTTAACTTTACGCCAACACACACAACAACTATTATGTGCTATGGAAGAAATATTGTGCTACATGTCAAAAGATGTATCCCTGAACAAAGTATCCACTGATGAAAACTGTGTGATACAGCTGGAAATTCTGGAAAAACTTAGTAAGCAGACCTTAAGGTAAAATTGTTTAGTCAAGTCCACCTACAGTATATGACTAATACTCCTAAAATAGGAGGTCCAGAAGGTTTTCCACAGAGAAATAGCCTTTTACTAAAGATAGACTTCTGTCTAAAAGCAATGACTTTTGAGAAGCTGTTTTAAATACAGAAAATGTTGTTGATCCATTTTCATGTTTGTCTCTCCACTGTGGTATGGGGAGGGCCACATATCTCATCTGGTATACAGCTGCTTCTTTTCACCCACAGTGAGGTGGGCGTATAGTATGCAAGGCTAAGGGTATCCCTCCCAACATCCTACAGTAAGAGAAATTACTCACTCAACCTTTTCCACTCTGCTGTATCTGGCTGGTCATATGACTCATGGATGAGGATAGAAATAACCCAAAAAATGTATGTATGTAGAGTATGATTCATTCTTACCTTTCATGCCAGCTTATTTACCATGACAACAAATTATCCAGTAACACTGTGGGGCAGCCCTAAATGTTGTATTGTGAAACATCCATGATTCACAACAACAGTGATGCGCTGTAACACTTTTCTTCAACTTTTAATGACACTGGTCTTAGAGAAACTTTTGTTCATACTGTAGATAATATGTTTTGATCAGGCTGTTAAATTGCAATTTATGTTTTGAACCAATAAGTTGCACATGAATGAGAACTCTTGTGTGACTTGTCAGACAAAAATATTGTATGAGAATTTCAAACAAAACTAGAAATTACATTTCTTGGAGAAAATAAGTGTGGATGCTTAATGCTGAAGAGTCTAGATTGGCTGAAATAACAACTGAAAGGCAAAATCAAAACTTGAAAACCGAAAGCTGAATAAAACTTCACATTCATTGGTGAAAATGGCTGAAGCAATGCTTTCAAATTACTAAAAAAGAAATTGGAAGCTGAAAGCACAAAGAAATTGCTGAAGCTACGCCAAAAATTGCTGATAATCGTGTAGTCATGGTGGAGTTGAAAAAGCCTGAAAAGTCTGAAAATGCAGACATTTTAACTTCATTATCTCGAGGAACTTGCTGAAGCAAAGCTGAAAATGGCTGAAAAGACACCTGAATTGCAAAATTAAAACTTAGTAGCTGAAAATTCAAATACATTAGAAGGTGAAAGCTGAAGGAAATAGCTGAATGTTGCAATGCTGACAAATGACTGAAATATGAGCTGAACTATTTGA